CATTCGCTACATCCAGGCCAGATTGCCTGATACGGATGCAACGTGAGCCTTGACGCCAGCCGAACAACCAATCCTTCATACCAGTTCAAGCGGCGTCGAAAGATTAGGCACGTACTCCAGTTACTACCATTGCCCACCGCCACCCCCCCCCCTCCTTCTGGATTCAAGAGGAGGTCGCATTTTGGGTCGCTGTCGTGGACTTGTCCATTTCGCTGGCTTATCAACAACACGTCCTCGCCGACCTTGGCCAGACAGGTGAGATTGGGCCAGAGGCACAGCCAAGCGAATCACAGCTATCCACGTTTCGAACATCCACACCATTGACATCCACACGCGCACACCCACACATCTGTCAACCACCCACACGGTGGGTGGTCTGGTGGTGTCTTGTCTTGCCTGGGCTGTCTGGTTTGGTCTGGTCTGGCTTGGTCTCGCCTTTCCGTCCCTCCAAGGCGGGAAAAATGTTCGCTGTGTGGGCCGACAGACCGACTCTCTGACGAGCTGGCATCATTAGACTGGCTGGCTGTTGAATCAGACACTCCAGTGTTGACCGCACTTTATCCGAACGTAATAATTGGCTCGTGGTTCGACCGATGGAAGGCTCAACACATTCGGAACTAGCCCAGCATATGAATCGCGTGCGATGAGGCGGTCGGCGGAAATGGACGGAAACATGGCCAAGTTGCCTCCTCATCCACCGTGTCCCCGTCTCATCGCCATCGCTGATGTCCACCTACAGACCCAGCTCTAGTGTGTTGAGCTGCTCTCAACATCTAGGTACTGATGTAATGGACGGCCCAAGGGAGGGTCAATTGTTCATGTTGGCACGACGGCTCGGGAGCAGCCGTCTGAAGAAATTCGCCTGCCATGCCATGCGGATGGAATGCACACTTGTGGCCCTCTGTCCTCTGACTCGGGGTTCATCTTCGGTAGAATTCGCATAACGCATGTAGGTGCACCCACAGCATGTGCCCCATCAATCCAACATCGACATTATACAACCCCGGATTTTGTCGTCTGCCTTGTCTTACGGGTGGCATACACCTCTGACTGACCCCCCTACACCCACCCAGGAGGCTGTTGGGTCAAAAGACACGCCGGCTTAACGAGATTCTGCCGCAGGCGAAAACGTCACATTGTCTCTGATAGCTTGACACGCATATATGCACAAGAATATCTCCAAACCGGCCTGCGCAATTGAGGCGACAAGATAGCAGCGTGTCTCTCACTGTGATCCGGGTACAGTGCCGCTTGACTCTTGAGGGCCATCAACCCAGGGGTTGAGCTGCTCAACATGAGGCTGGCAAAAACTCGTCACTAATTCAGTCTAGCGCATTTCACACCGCTACTCTCCCAGCCTTTCTAACACAACACCCTCCCCCTTGTCGGTTGTGCCGAGTGTGATGGGAAAACAGAACCTCCTCCCCTGTCGCTCAAGCCGAATTGATGATGACTTTGTGTTCTCCGCCGGTCAGTTCGGACCTAACCCCAATCAGGTAGGGCTTGCTGACCTGAACCCATGGCTCGCCTACAGGGCAACCTTGCTCGTCTTGTCGCTAAGCGTTTGGTTTGTCCCTCGCGCGGCTTTCACGTGTGGAGGCCAGGCGAGGGAGGCACAAACGATGGCTGGAAGGAACCACATGCCAGACGTGGAAGAGGTTGGGATGGGATTTCTTCGTCAAGTAGAAATCGCGCAACCAGCTCAGGGTTTGCACAAGCGCAGCCTGGGTGAGCCCGCCTGTCGCACGCCCCAGTCTCGCGACTGAGAAGGTCAGACAATCGACGAAGTGGCGCAAAGAGACGCTCCTTGGACAGCTCCGTCCAGCCACCTTGTGTCGCTGGTAATTCACATGGTCAATACATTTACAGTCTTTCTGTACTATGTTGCAGGTCATTGTCACAAAACCCATGGCGAACGCCAGATGCACACTCCTCTTTCCGGAAAGATGACGGACAGCCAGCGCAGATGGCGATCAAACTCCCGAAAGCGACAGCTAGGCACTATTTGGAGAGGATACGCAAGATGACATGCTCATCGTAGGTCGCACGAAAAGCCGTCCCGCATCACCATCGGGACACCTTCAAGTTGTCCCGGAGCCCCTCTCGCGTACCCCAGTCTCCCGTGGTCTGCATGTGTCGGGAAGGCTGCAGGCAAGGTCTTTTTCGCCTTCGGTGGGGAATCAGTTTGCACACTGCCCGCGGCGGCAATGATCCCAACACAACGTCGTCCGTTCCATACATCGGTCCAAGTTGTGGCTTGTGTTGTTGAGCCGAGCAGGAGGGAATTGATGGGCCATGGATGTGGCTCAATCCAATTCTGCAGAGAGAACGCGTCAAGAGATCGAGGTCTCTCGGAGCGGCGACCGCCGTCGCCGCCTCCGCCACGATCTGAGTTCTTCCGCCAACAACCTTAGCCCGCGATATCTAGCAGAAAACCCCCTCCTCCTCTTTTGACATCCCTGTCCCCCCTCTCGCTCGCTCCCTCGCCCCGATGAAGCAACTGGCTGCGATAGCGGAAGGCGGGCAGAGACGGGAAGAACATGCACAGAAGCGGACACGGCACGACAGGCTCGCTTTTCTCGGTCTGGCCGGTCCTGGCCCTAGACCGACGGGGATATGGAAGGAAGGGCGAGGGAGATTTCTCTCGTCAGAGTTTGCATCGTCGTCGAGTTTAACAATGTCGAGCCCTTATCTTGTTCAGATGAGCCTCTTTTGCGGCGACGCACGTATGCCTCGCATACGAGCACATATGCGGGCGCTGCAGCGTCCTGGGCTGGATGTACAAGGTGCGACGTAGGAGCCTTGGGGACGATGACCTGTGAGGAAAGACGGATGTTCAATGCTGGCCTGTCCAAGGAAGATCGGCGCGTCTGTGTGTATGTGTGTGTGTGTGTGGACGTAGGCTGACTGGCGCATGTACAACGTACGATGTGGGCAATGCCGCGGGGATGCGAAGAGGAGGAGGGGAGGGGCGAGGTTGACCCATGCGCTAGGGGGAGGAGGGCCTGGAAGGCTGGAGACTTGAGATCCATGGCGAGTCTTACTGCGGTCCCTCAGGACATCCCTCCACCTTTGCTTGGCATAACAAAAGCCATCGGGCAAGCTGCCAGCCTTCTTGTCAGATGCGTCCTCGAGCCGATCAACTAGCGCCCTGAAAGGAAAGAGGGGCGCCTGGGGCGGGATGACGAAGGTCCTGTCGGATGAGAGTGGACAACCGGGGGGGGGGGGTGAGAGGGGATAATCGGGGGACGGAACCGGGACCGACAGACAACCCCTCTTCTCGGCGTTGCTTCGTGTCGCGCCGTTGGCGATGCGTCTACGAAACGAAAAGGTTGCACACCCCTCCCTGGGCGCGGACAGGCAGGTCGATATGGGGAAGGCAAGTCGTCAAGAGGTTAGCCACGTTGTGCACATGTGGTACACAAAAACAAAGACCGCGCGAAGGGGGGGGGGGCGACGGCTCAGGAAAGACTCGCTCGCATGCATCGCATGATCGAGCTGTATGAATGACGGAGAGAGCAAGAGAGAGAAAGGGCTGCGGTCATGCCGGTAGAGCGGCGGCCGTCACAGCAGTTCTCCCTCGGGACTCGCGTTCCAGTTCAAACGTGGCTACGAGGACGCAGCCAACAATGGGCATTGTAATGCAGTGGCATGCTGTCGAATCTCATCTGGAGCGTACGTTATGCAGGGAACATGACTGCTCGGGGGGGCAAGGGAGGGGACCTACTTACTTACTCTCATTCTGTGTTCACTGGCTTTGGGGGGAGGGGGGGGTGCGGAGCTGACGCTGTAGCACTGAGGGAGTAGCATGGGGAAGAAGACGGTGCGCAGCCAGAAGACGCCGCCGGGAGCCGTGCCCGCCATTGTGCTGTGCTGGCGGGGGGGGGGGGGGGATGGATGCGGGAGCGAAATGTTGGCGTGGCATCACAGCCCATGGGCATCTCGTGCATGAACACCTGGGACAGCATGGTATAGACGGCCACGAGCCACATTCGTGCTCTTTTTACATACACACACATATGTATGAATGAGCATGGGCAGTATAGCATGGCAGGGGCAGGTGCGTGACAGACATGAGTGAAGCAGAGAAGACAATGCCTGAAGCGATGGTGAAGGACGATAGCAACAGGTGAGAGGTAGGAACAGGCAAAGGGAAGGAAGCCTTCGCGCATGTGTGTATTGGGTGTGCAGGTGACAAGCAGAGGACGGCGGATGCGCTGTTCGTCCCAATACATATAGAAGCAAGGGGTCCGGTTCGGTCCAGGTGGCGGTAACTCGTTGGCGGCGGCGGCGGCCTGCATTGCATTGCATGGCCTTGCATTGCATTGCAGCACATTGCATCGCATCGCATCGCATCGCCAGCACCGCCTACTCACCACCCCCAATGCCTACTCCAGCGCCATACATGTCCACATACATGTACAGTCGAGGGCTTCGGCGTGGCAGCGGTGCCGCGGCTCGTGGGTGGGCGGGTGCTGTCCCCGCCTGCAATTCGAGATTGGCTTGGGTTGGGTAGGCGCTGGCCATGCACACGGCGCATTTATGCGTGCAGACGCTCTGGCGATGCGGCCCCGAGGTCCAAGGTGCTGGAGCCCGACCTGTTGGACATCCGTGGGAGCATGCCGTGCGTTCTTGATGCCCCTCGAGGCTGACACCACATGGTGTGTATCACGTGATATGGTGCTGTTGATCTACTGGACGATACGCTGTGGTGAAGGCATGTCAGCTGACTTCGCGCTACCGACGTGTTCGACCGGCCCGTCACTTTGGTCGTCAGCTGTCTCTGGATTCCTGAGCCACAGGAGGACGCGCCACAGACGCACAGCGCGTTTAGGCCTGCTTTGTCAATGCCAACGACATTTCCCGAGCCCATGATAGCCCGTGCTGATGCGAACCGGTCTCTCCCTTTTATCTTTACATGTCAATCTTCTCTGCCGACACAGCTGGCAGGGAACGTATAAAGAAAGAGAGAAACCTAGAAAGTATCGGAAATCAGCGCCATGCCTCAGCCACCAAACGAGCCTCTCCCTCCCTCGGCCCAGCCCAGGCTCGGCAAGGTCTTCGACCCTTGGAACTCGAGCAGCACCGGCCACCAGCGCCCCGACACACGGCCTGGCCTCGGCTGGCGCGACAGCCGCAACCGCAAGCTGATGGGCCAGTTTCGCGCCGGGCACACGGGTGGCGCCCGCGAGAGCGACACGTACGGCGCCGGCAGCGAGGACTTTGACCCCGCCGTCGGCGCCGTCGTGCCCAAGGCCGTCAGGGAGAGGGCCAAGTGTAGCGTCCACGACATGCTGCTCGCGCCGGGACGCATGCGGGAGACACTGCCCCCCGCCGCCGCCGCCGCCGCCGCCGACGATGACAATGTCGAGCCGGCTGGGGGTCGAGGCAGGGGCCTCTTTGATGGCGTCGTCGTCTACGTCAATGGGAGCACGGCGCCCCTCGTCTCGGACCACAAGTTCAAGCGTCTGTTGGCGGAGAACGGCGCGCGCGTCTCGCTGCACCTCGGCAGGAGGCAGGTCACGCACGTCATTGTCGGGCAACCCGTCGGTGGCGGCCGAGGCTCGGGAGGCGGCCTGGCGGGGATGAAGCTCGAGAGGGAGATCAAGAAAATGGCCGGCTGCGCGGTCAAGTACGTCACCGCCGAGTGGTAAGCTCCGTCTCCTTTCCTTGGGTGGATGGTTTTGATCTGTCGAGTGCTGACCGCTGCAGGGTTCTTGAGAGCCTCAAGGCCGGCAAACGGTTATCCGAGGCGCGGTTTGCAGGCTTAAAAGTGGCGAGGGAAGGACAGCGGAGCGTGCTTGGCACGTACACGACGGGGCCTGTTACTTCGGCGTTCAAGACGTCATGATGGCGCTGGCCAGCTCGTGATGTGCGGCGTCTTAGTCTGACAAGGGGCAAAGGGGGGGACAGCGTTGGTTTTCTTTTTTGCACTTTGGCTTTGCGGCCTCTTTTGATACCCGGGTACATGGGGAACGGTTGTGCTTTCGGATGGGGCGCAGGCTGGCTGTACTGCTTTTCGTCGGTTCATGGTGTTCGATCGGCAAACTTCCGGTGACGCATTCAATTGTATCGGGTGATTCATGGGTGTTCGCTGAGACAGCTCCCAGTGTGCCGTGCTTTTTTTTTCACAATATGACAATGGTCATCTTCTTGAAGCGTGCGCGGGCATGTTTTGCGTCACTAGCTTCTTGGTCTGACCTCGGTGCACGACTTCAATGGTCAACGGGCTTTTGATGTGTTTGTGAAAATTGTTCATCCTCGTACTTGCTTGATGCCACCAAGGAATCTCGGACAGATCAGTAGCTGGTCACCATATCTATAGCTCTGATTACCGGGCCTTTCATGCGATTGACTTGGCCGCCAGCCATCGGGTCCTCCCATTCCCACTCCTCTGCTCTTCTCGACTTCCTTTCCCATGGTATTTGGCTTTGAGTGTGAACATGGCGAAGCAATGTTATTGGGTCGACAAATATTCCGTTTTCTTTTTTTTAAAAGACCATTCACCGCATTTGTAGCCTACAGTGTTCCTTCACGCATAAGAGATGTTTCGCTGTTCTATCTGGCCTTCCATCTCGGGAGTTGGGGAGTCCTCGATACTGCCAACTTCCACGCTCCCACCCTGGTGAGGAGTAAACATGGCGATTCCGACATGACGTTCAACAAACATAACAAGCATCTTGTGCTTCCCACTACACGCACATAGGAACCCAACCCTGCCTTCCTAGGGAGACCCCCATCTGTACCCCCGTGATACCACGCAGCGCGCAGCAGCGTCACACGTTATCCGCGGACGGACAGACAAGCAAACACCTTTGCAACCCACCGTCACGTTTGTCGCAACAACTCACCCCAACTACAGGACTCGACCAAACGGCCCCGTTGCATCGCTGCAAATCAACACCCCAGGGAAAGTCGAAAAACGCAACGGGGGTCCTTCTTGGCTGCTCCTGGCAACAAGGACGCGGCTCGCCAAAGATGGACACTATGAGTGGCAAAACCGATCATCCAACCCCCTACACCCCCTCTCGGCTCGCCCTCGTCGGCCGCGTACCACGAGACCGACCCGCCAGCACCGTGCTGCAGAGCAGATGGGTAGAACTCTGTGCTACGAACATGCCGTGAAACGACTGCATCTCTCGTCCTCGTTTCCTCCCTTCCTCATTCCGTGCTCGAGACCCTAGGTCGCCGCCGTACGACATGGCTGGCAACGAGAAGAGGGAAGGGGGGGGGGGTTTCTATCCCCAAGGAAGAAGCGGGCGTCGTACGGTATGGAGGGCGTGCTGCCGTGTCAAGGCCACGAGGGGCCTAGGCGATCACAAGTGTGATCTCATTGGCCGCGCCGTCTTGATTCACATCGGGCGATCTGGATGGCGAGAAGCAGGATAGGCTTATACGAGGTCTCCGTCGGCATTGATGCCGTTGAGCCAGGGCGGTATGGCTACAGCATGCAGGAAGGGGGAGAGACGCACTGCTTCGGGACATGTTGTAGCTCTGGTTTTGGGGAACGTGACTGGGAAAACGCATGCCGGTGTCCATTGGTGGTTTACCTAAGGGGAAAAGGATGACGCGGTCCAGTGTCGTCTTTTTGTTCTAGGAAGCGGTGTTCCAGTGGCGAATAGCATCTTCAATATGTTTGTTGTTTATTGAAAATTGTTCATTGAAAACTCAAATTCAGAGGTGTTAGATGAACAACTGATAGAGACCCCTCCATGAATATCGCCAGGGTATACATACCATAAGCAGGTGAGCCTGGTCTCGTATTCTGCCACCAAGTGAATTCCTATCGAAATCTGCGTACAGTCCACAGAGCTGTGCAAGATGATATTCGTTGCCGACTGCATAATTACTGGATAACCAACACGCCTCGGCATGCTACTTGACAGGTAATAGAGCACATATCAACCGCCAGTGGTACCTTCCATCTATAAGCTGCCTAGCCAATACGTATGCTTGCAGGTAAATTCACAGGAAAGCCAGATGCTGAAAACCCTAGAAGGGAGGCGGGCAGACAAAGTTTTGACCAGAATAGGCAAAAGAACGCCACATTGCTTGAAGATCTAGTTACGAAAGAACGTCAATGTAAACAGACCCAGCATGCGCAATCCATCAGAGCTTTGCCTTGCCTTCACTCCTCTTGACTCTCCAGTATTCGCCGATTTTCTTCCTTGCAACATCAATAGCAGCCGCATCCTCCACCGTACTGGGCACGCTGACCTCCTTCTCAAAATCCCCCTTGGATGCATTCTCCACCAGCTCCCGCAGCACTCGCCTCAAGGTCTTGCCACTTCTAGTCTTGGGGATCATCCCTTTACCCTGGACCACGCCCCCCAGCGTCGCAATGGCACCAACTTGTGCGCGAACAAGCTCCTGGATCTCCTTCTCTAGCGCGGGATCCGGCACTGCGGTGGTGGGATGCGAGGCAACAGAGAGGGTGACGAACGCAAACGGCAGCTGGCCCTTGAGGGCGTCTGGGACGCCCACGACGCAGGCCTCAGCGACCAAAGGATGAGAGGTAATGGCCTGTTCAAGGGAACCTAGTATCACGTCAGTCGGAGCTTCGAGGGTCGTGGCACGGAGATAGGGACATACCGCTAGATAGACGATGTGCTGACACGTTAAGCACGTCGTCGTTGCGACTCATGACGCTGACGTAGCCCTCTTCATCAATGAAGCCAGCATCGCCAGTGTCGACCCATTTCCCCTCGAACCGCTTTAGATAGCCCTTGTAAAACCGTTCCTCATCTTCCCACAGTGTTCGGAATGCCGTCGGAGCCAAGGGCAACCCTAACACAATGTTGCCCATAGTGCCTCGCGGGACCTCGTTACCCTCATCGTCTACGATCCGCACGTCAAAGCCTGGCATTGCCTTACCTGCACTACCGGGCTTGATGCCGATGGGTGGGTGACGATCAGTCCTTTTCGCGTCAATAGCAACGTGAGGTACGAGAGCACGACCCGTTATTGGACTTCCTGACTCGGTAGACCACCAATTGTCGATGACGTGGGATCCGCCCTCGTCCGGGGGCGCAGCGTACTCGTCGAGCAACTCCTGGTACGCTGAGATGATGGCGGGCTCGGATCGTTCACCGGCGAGGAAAAGGGCACGGAGTGAACGGAGGCCCCCGCGGTTGCCAATGTCTTTGAGGCGCGCGTTCTCGGGGTCGTCCCGCTTTATGGCACGTAGAGCTGTCGGGGCGGTGAACATGGAAGTTACACGGTACTCTTCGACAACTCGCCAAAAGGCAGATGCGTCAGGCGTGCCGACTGGTTTGCCCTCGTAGAGAACTGTCGCAGCACCGGCTAGGAGAGGGGCATAGGCGATGAAACTATGTCCAACAACCTAGATGTTGTCAGCAAGACTGTGTCGATGGTGGAGAGGAGGCAACCAACCCATCCGATATCAGACGCCGTGAAGATGACATCACCAGGTCCATGGATGTCGAATAGATACTTGATTGAGAGTTGGAGCCCGACCGCATGACCGGCTGCATCCCTCCTCACGCCCTTGGGAGTACCCGTAGTCCCAGATGTGTGGATGATGTATACAGGGTCAGACGAGGCGACGGGCACGCAGGCGGCTCTGATATTGCGAGCACGGCAGCTCTTGACAATGCTCTGCCAGTTTCGCTCGCCTATGTTGCGGCTGATAGGATGCCACCGGACTTCGTCGCGTTGCCAGACCACGACACGAAGGGGTTTGTGCGAAGATAGACGAAGGGCTTCTTCGACGAGGGGCTGGTAGGCGGCCGGTGCCTTGGCGCCATCAATGCCGCACGATGCCGTCAGTATAACCACGGGCCGGGATGCCTCGATCCGCTGGGCCAGGGCGGCAGGGGCGAAGCCACCAAAAACGACGGCGTGCACGGCGCCGAGACGGCTCGCAGCGAGAATGCCTATGAGGGCAGCAGGAATCATGGGCACTGACTTGTGTGAGCAGGGCAAGGCTCGATGGAGAACATGGAAAGAGATGAAAGAATATCCTCACTGTAGATGAGCACAACATCGCCCTTCTTGACACCCTCCTCGCGCAAGGCGCCAGCAAGGACCTCGACCTCGTCGAGAAGCTGTGCATAACTCAGGGTCTGTTTCGTCTTGGTCACAGGACTGTCATAAAAAATGGCGGGATGGTGACCATGACCGGCAAGGACGTGGCGATCAACGCAGTTGTAGCACGTCGAGATCTGCCCATCTGGGAACCAAGACCACGTTGCATGAGTGACGCCGCTCTTCCCGAGGGTCGTCTTCGCCTGGACCAGGGTCGAGGAAGGTTTCTTGTGCCAATAGAGGTGGTCGGCCTGCCGGCCCCAAAACGATGTTGGGTCCTCAAGGGACTGACGATGCACATCGTCCTGAGGGTGTGATGGTCTCGAGGACTGCGGCATGGCTGTGGTGGTAAGAGGGTTGTGACGATATGCTGCTGATCTGGCCAGAGAGGCGGCATGCAACGTCTTTAAGCCTGTTGGCGGGCTCTTCCTCGGCCATGGGGGCATAATGGTTTGCTGGCCCAAAGGATGTAGTCCAGGAAAGAGGGCGAGCACTGCGAGAATGTGACGTCTCATGGGCCTCCAGTTCCCCAAGCTGCCTGCCGACCTACCTTACCTACCCAGGCACTAGGTGCTCACGGCAGGTACCCCGGTTGTGCTTCCCCGCACTGCCGTCCGCTGATCCGGGGGCGTCATGAGAGGTTGCCGAGAGCCCCGCAAGAGCCAAGCCGAGCTGTCAACGCCGCCTGCCACCCTTTTGCTCCCAGCTGGCCACAGACGATGAGAGCAGGACATCAAAGAATCAGGATGTCTGTCCACTCAACAGGTGTGCTGCTGGCGACAAAGGCGAAACAATGCCATTGCTGCTGTAATTGGGTCTGCGCGTAGGCACCTAATTGAGTTCGATCTGCATGTGTGTATGTATGTGGCGACGAGGTGCAAAATCAGGTCCTGCTGGGCTTGCCTACACATCAGGTAGCTCTGTAGACGCTCTCCTGGACGGAGTACTGTACAGCAGCAGATTTCCATGAATGACCCGATATCGAACCGAGAGCGCAGAGTCGCGGCTACCGAATGCCGCCTGGCAAACAGGCCCTCGCCTGCAACGAACCAAACACTTCATATATATGCCCAACACGAGACCGAAGCAAACAATTCACTCGTGCTTCAACATACCGCACTGAACCTTGACGCCAGCGGTCAGCAAGAAAGAAAACAAAGGAAAAGGCAGGACCACAACCAACACCACATCACGTGACGCACCCGATCCGTCCGTATCTCATCTACCTAGGTCGGTACCTACCTACCTTGCTGTACCTACCTACCTACCTAGGTACCAGTCAATTTTCCACACCCAAAACCAAAACACCACCCTTGCGCCAACGAGCGCGAGGTGCCTGCCCCTTCTGTCTGTGACCAGGGCCTGTTCGTTATCTCTGGTACCTGCCTTGTCGTTGTCGCGTCGCGTCATGTCGTCCCGATCATCAAAATAAGACCCATAGGCTCAATCCTGCTCAGTTCCGCGCCGTGAACCGGGCGGTGGGTGGGCCCACTCGCTTTAGGGAAATGAGCTCAAACTGTAAGAAAGAAGCGAGATTGGCGGCCCCCAGTAAGCCCGATAAGCATCCACACCTGTGCGGCACACAAATCCGAGCCCAGCAATGGCTCCTACTGGGGGCGAGAATAGCGGAGGTGTTGTCAGCTAGGTAGTCTCTGGAGATCCCAGTTGGCTGCCGCCCCTTTCACCGCTTCCCCCCCCCGTCTCTTCGCGTCCCGGACCTGTGGTCAGAGCATTCTACGCAAGTCGCATCGTTGCGAAGGAAGTCACAATGTACACGCAGAAAAGTGCGGAAGGCCAAGTAGCTGTCGGACCAAAAGTGGTCTCTCCGTGCTGCGTTTCATTATGGGAACTACAGAAACTCAGGTCTAGCTTGTACAAGAGAGCCATAAAACATCCGACGAGGAACGGATACCACAAGTTTGCCACTAGGTAGAGGGAGGAACAAAATATGGGATCGAATTTCTTTCGTATGATCAGAGCCATGAAACGCTGCGCTCCATCGTGAACACATTAATATTCCTCGCCTCAGGAACCCCAGGGCAAAAATTGGTATAGACCGCACACACAGGTATCTTGAGCAAGACAGAATCCTCCGTGGGCGAGAAGTCGAGCCTCCTCATTTCCTCTTCCTCCTCACTTGTGACGAAATCACCCGAGATGTGCGCACGAAGCAGGTACAAGAATGTACTGGATTTGTTGATATCGACTGCCGGCTGGCGAGCCCAATTATGTCCAGACCGCCCGACCGCCGGCAACACCTCCCGAAGATCCTGGGTATCCGAACAACCCCGCAACGCCCGCAAACTCCACACTAAGAGCGCTCGCCGTCCGCGTCATGCTGATTGTCGCGTGGCTGCGTCGCCGCCCCCTTGACCGTTGCGGGCGACCGAGGCAGAGACGCGAACGCCGAGTGTTGACCTCAAAGGTAGCGAATTTACAGGACGAAAGCGGCGAGGCCGAGGACACCGGCCAGACCAGCGCCAGAGAGGGCGGCGACCTTGCCGGCACCGGCGGTGGGAACGGTCTCAGGGGCCTCGGTGGTGGGGACGGGGACAACGACCTTGGTGGTGGTCTGGTTGTGGCCGGGGACCGGGGCAGGGACGTGGGGAACCGCGGGGGCAGTGTAGGTGGGCTTGGCGGGGGGAGCGCAGTCGTGGCACTCAACGACCGAGGTGGTCAGGACGGGCTTGGAGATGGTGCAAGGGCAGTCCGTGATGGTCAGAGTGGTGGGCTTGGTGATGGTGTAGGTCTTGTCGCCGTGGGTGAGGGTGGTGGGCTCAGGGCAGTAGGTGGTGTAAACCTCAACGACCTCGGTGGTGTAGGTGACGTTGTTGCCGTAGGCGCCGGCCATGACGGCGGTGGCGGCAGCGAGAACGGTGGCAGCGGAGTACTTCATTTTGACTGATATTAAATCGACTCGGGGAAGAGCGAGGTGATGGCTGAGTGGTAGTGGGTTGGAGAGATTAGGTAGCTTGCGCTGGTATTAACGAATGAAAGTGACTGAAAGTCTAGGTCGGTGCTGTAGCGAGTGTGTGTGGGTGAAGAGGAGAGGAAGAAAAGTGTAATGGGGGAACAGGATGAAAAGGACTTTATACAAACAACAGACGAGCGAGGTCCAAGGGGAAAGGGGGAGAACCCGCGCAGTCCACGCTGGCGATGGGGCCAGGCCAGGGGTCAGGGGTGGTGGGTAGGATGGCAAGGATGGGTCTTCTCGCCGCAAGGGGTGTGCGGATGTGGATGCCCAGGTGTGATTCCCGGGTTGAGTTCCTGGCACTCATCCCATCCACCCATCTTATCCATGATCCATCCCCCACCCCTGTCTTCCAAGTCCATTTTCCATGGCCCTTCAGCGCTGGCTTGCTCGCTGACATTCTTCCGCCAGCCGCTGCTGCTCACTGGGTGCCGCTTGGCCCTGGCACCGAGCGGTCCACACCCGATGCTCACTCACGCTCACGCCGACAACACATTCACTCATACAGCGCCAGGTCCCCCCCCCTTTGCCAGATTTCTCGCTCCTAATTTGGGTCGGCAAAAGAGGACTCCATTTTTACCGTGGCGTCGAATGAACTCATCGCGTTTTCTAATTGACAGACCAGGGAGATAGACCTCGCCAGCCCAGACAGTCAGCGATGGATAGGGGGGGTGTAAGGGAAGCGCTGCCCGTCTCGCCATTGGGCCTTTGTCTACGTGCCCTGTTTTTGTTGAAGCGGGCTCTTGCCGGCGCTGTTCACCACACAATCTCTCTCTTGTCTCTGGCCTTCCCCTGCTTCCCTGCCAATCCTAACAATGCGAGAGATTGAGAACTCGTACCGGCTCGGCCGTGATCGCCTGTGGGTCGCCAGTCCATGGCCTGCGTTGGAATGGACACTGCCATCGTCCGTCCGAGTCGGCCATTGTGCAATCGCCAACTAACTTTTCTGCCCCGGCTGGTTAGCACGGTAGTAGTGCCCGTGCTCTTGGTCCGTTGCTTGGACCCGGCGTACCGTAATTGTAGCTCGCTATTGATGTGCCTTGACGCGCGTATGAGACGACGGCTGCTGTTCAGTCGGATGAGCAGCACAAGTGACTTGTACATCTGCTGGCTACCTACTGGGGGATTGTGCACGACTCTAGTGCATGACCTGGTGGGCCTCCAAGACGAACCAACACCACCATCAGTCGACGCAGGGCTGCCCGTCCCGCATACGGCCTGGTGGTTCTGACTGGCGGAAGTCGCTGTGCCTGAGCTGATGACGCCTGTCCTGCTGGTTCGGGGCACACTAATGCAGGAACCCTATCGCTGGACACAAAGCCCGACGCAGACAGGCTGGTGAACCGCCATCCTGCTCCGTCTAGAAGGCAGCCAAGGCGGTTGAGCAGATTGAGCAGATTGCACTCCTCTACCACGCGTCAAGGCCGACGCGTCTGACTTTACTCGATGACCCATACGTGGCTATGAAAACCATGGCTCCTGGAGTTGTTGTTACTTCGTTCTACCAGTGCGAAAGGGCCAGCTTGACGGTGCCATCCGCAGATTCTTATCGATCGCACCAAAACACCTGGTTTCCGTTCCGTGCGGCTGGGCAGGCCCGCCCGATCCCTTGAGCAGGCCGCTGCTTCAACTGTGCCTAGTTAATGTCCAAGGCTAATCGCTCATCGCTCGCTGTTGCCAGTCGCGGGCGAGATGTGATGGATGGGGACGATGTAAGGGCGGCGCGCTCAGGTCGTGCAGCCGATTGGGCTTAGACGGCTGGATGGGCGGTTGGACGGGCGGATGTGGAAGTGGATGGTGTGGGTGGCGAGCCAGGAGATTGAGCCTCGCAGAGATTGCACTAAGGTTCAATAGAGTCATATGTGCTGAGTTGGGGTCAGCCGTACCTAGGCAAGTAAAATAGGTACCTTACGGTGACGATGCTTCTCTGGAGGCCACGGCACGCCCACCCAGGTGCTATGATGCAGCGGCGCTCCAACAGAGGCCAGTACCAGCGCTATCAGTTCCAGTGGGGCAGACGCTGGGCGGCATGGAGAAGTGAACGGACGAGTCAGGTCTCGCGTATATCACCGACGGCTTTGCGCTCAATTTCCCAGCCTGTTTAACAACACGAGAAAAAAAAAAAAGGCCCCCAACCCAATCCGGCTAATGGGGTGCAAAACAACAATACGATGACTAGAAAACTGGGTATGTCGATGATCACCAGAGTCCAGACTCTTTGATCGGGGCTTCTCTTGCCAATCGTTGCCCTCCTAGTGGATTGCTCCTGGGGCCCTTTGAGCCTTTTCTGGGGCCGTCTCCAAAATTGGCAACAGCGACCAACTCACCCATCAGGTACAAGCCCCCTGCCCTGTGAAGCCTGTGCACCGGAAAAGTCTGCCCTGTGTCTCCCATCTGCCAAGCCGCCCCGATGCGTGTCTGACACCTGGGAAGACTCCAGGCGAGAGGTTTGCTGGGCCTGCCGAACCTGCTGTACGATGTGAATTGATACCAGCCCTGCCAGCCCACCCAGTACCCAGCTTGGGGGACCGGAAGCAAAGCCGGCCAAGCTGGCGGTCTGACGATATGAGACGACGTGCCGCTCAAGTGCTGGTCAGATCACCAAGGGGGGCTGCGCTTGGGCATCACCCGCCCAGCGGGCCGTGTCCCCAGGTCCTACAGTTTTGAACTCTTTGCTCTTGCTACCTGTGACTTTGCCTCGCTTCAGGTAGCAAGCATATCATCGTAAACACACTGGCCAAGATAGGACGCGCCGTGATCGTCAGTCAAAGGCAGGCAATCGGTGTTTCTGCTCGATGACTTCTCGGGCCTTGACGCCTCTTCTTGGCATCTCCGGGAGATCAGGAGTTCCATCGAAACGGAGGCGCCTTCAGACGGCAAAGCTCCGACTCCTCCTCAGCTCGAAAGGGGTTGGATCGCATGGGTCGTGTGTGAGAGTTCAAGCTTTTGGGGTCAGTGAGCTGGTGACGGGCAAATCAGCTTCTCCTGAGCCACCAGCTACGGAGCCGAGTTTTCCATATCATTGTGTACTATCGACCCAGAAAGCGCTCCACGCCCCGCAAGCTAATTTCCACTCAGCAGAGCTCCCCCAGTTGTTGGCCCCGTCACCATGTTTTTGTTGTCCTTTCCGGGAGCCAACCATGTCTTGACTTGATGTTCCCGCTCCCGGTTGCCGGGCAAGGCGCTGGCAAGGCGGAAGGGCGGACAGGGAAGACTTCCACATGCAGGGGAAAGCGAGGGCAGGGAGAATCATGATACCCGGCCTGACTCTGACCCTGATTCCGAATCCGACCCCATTGGACCAGTGAGGAGCTTGCCAATTCTAGAAGCATTTCACAGCGTTCAGAGCGCCTCGTATTGTTGCTGGCCATCGAGATGACCTGCAAGTGATCCTTGAAATCCAGTCCCTGCGTCCCCGAGATTCAATGATCCATTATTATGATGCGAGCAAGGCAGGTCGTATGAGGGAGGGATTTAAGGTATCCTCTCTCCTCCTATCTACCACTGCCCCATCGCCGTGCGACTCGCTAGGCAGTTATCGCTAGCTGCCTGCTTCGTTGGAGGCGGCGTCATCAGCACTTTGCATTAGTGTAGTTCAATGTGTCTTGCCTGCCTTTGATCCAATTCCATGCCATTGCTCTCACAAAGCAATGGTGTCATCCCGAGAACAGCACGACAGCGTTTTTCAACTTGACATTTCACGCTGCACAATAATGTTCTGCAGCAGCCTTGGATGATTTGCGCCACGCGGTGTCTCGGTTAGGCGCCCCTTTGCTGTGGACAAGAGTTGAGAGTAGACTTCTGTTGGTGTCGTACACCTTGAGAAGAATGTTATGTCTTCAATTTGACGCTTGAGGGCCCTTTCGGCTCTCTCAATGGGACCATCTGCCGTCTTCTCACTTGCTGGCGTTGACAGCGTGGGAGAGCGCGGAATGCGTTCGTGGATCAGTCGGCCCAGGTTCGGCGTTAGGTTTGTAAGTCGCAAGCAGGACGGGAATGTTGGAGCCGCACGTCATCGACACGACAGGAAAGCATGACCCCATTCTACCGGATGTCAAGGCACCTGAGATCCCCACACCAGAGAGCTGAGGAAAACAAGACAACATTCTTCATTGACCAGCAAACCCAACAGCACGACACCGCACGACTCATTTGGCATTTTTGAGGTGACAATGACGGCCACGATGCGAGCAATTGGTACGTCCCTGCCATCGAGACTTCGGCGGTATCATCACGACACCTCGTCTGACCCGCTTGTCCAGACATCAGGGGCGGCAAAGGCCCCCGCGAGAACCTGTTCCTGAGTTCCGACATTCCTAAACCGACCCCCAAGTCTGGCGAGGCCCTCGTAAAGGTCAAGGCTTTTGGCATCAATCGCATGGATCAAATCCAACGCAACGGCGCATACCCCCTACCCCCCGGTGTTTCCAGCATTCTCGGCGTCGAGTTCAGTGGCACCGTCGATTCCCTGGCCGGCGAGGGTACCGACACCTCCCGCTTCAAGGTCGGCGACGAGGTCTTTGGTCTGGCATATGGCGGCGCGTATGCCGAATACGTCGCCGTCGACGTGGGCATGCTGATGCCCAAGCCAGCTTTCCTCTCCTGGGAGCAGGCTGCTGGCGTCCCCGAGACTTGGATCACGGCCATCCAGGCCTTGCATGTTGTGGGTGAGTTCCAGCCTGGCAAGGCCGTGCTGTGGCACGCCGGCGCTTCGGGCGTCTCCATCGCCGGCATCCAGCTGAGCTTAGATGCCGGCGCCGGCGCAGTCTATGCGACAGCCGGTACGGAGGGCAAGTGCTCTTTCATCACAGGCACGTTAGGAGCAACCAAGGCTTTCAACTACAAGACCGAGGATTGGGCAAAAGGGATCAAGGATGCGACTGGTGGGAACGGGGTGGACCTTGTCGTCGACTTCATCGGCGGAGGCGACTACTTCACCAAGAACATTGATGTCGCTGCTAGGGATGGCAGGATCGCCATGCTCGGCATGATGGGAGGTGGCATAGTCGAGAATCTCGACATCCGGCCCATCCTGTTTAAGAGGGTGCGGATTGAGGGCACGACTCTGCGGAGCAGGACTCTCGAATACCAGGGAAAGCTACGAGAGAAGCTCGAGAGCTACTTGCCCGATTTTGAGAACGGCAAGCTGAAGGTGGTCATTGACACCGTTCTGCCGTGGGATCAGATCCAGAAAGCTCATGAAATCCTAGAGGGTAACCAGAACTCGGGCAAAATCGTGTGTACCATTTCATAGGCGTAGATATCATATAATAATCTCACAGAGACTTGACAAGCTGCTGTGTGTGTTCAAGTGGTCATCATCAGTTGTTCATTAGGCTCACAATATCAAGGAAAAGCTATTCGCACACCGCGCACTTGATCCTTCCTGCCTACTTAGTGCTCCTGGACCCACTTCAACATTTGGTGGTAAGCCGTAGCCTGTGCCTCTCGAATGGCTGCATCTTCGTATTCACCAGCAACAGCGAAGCCTAGACTATGCGTTAGCAACTACCCAGATCGTCATTCGTATGCAAAAGTGACAACACTTACCATGCGGAACTCCGGGGTAGACCCGAACCTCGTGCTCAAGGTTCGCCTTGGACATGGCGTCTTCGCCGAACGTGCGTACATGTTCAGGAAATAGGGGATCATCTTCTACACACACTAGTGAGATAGGAATTCTTAACCCCTTGAAGTCGTCTGGCGTCACAGATGCGCCGTGGGCCAGCGCGCCAACCTTGATAGAGGGACCCTTTTTCAGCTGGCCAGCCTCTTCGTCGGCGGGCTTCTGTGCTACGGCCTGGCTGTCAGATCCGAGGAGTAGAATGTAGCGTCCGCCTATGCAGTAGCCTACGGCATATATGCCATCGCCGTGCTTGATGGCATCAGCGTACTTCTCCCGGCACCCGTCGATGACGCGGTGTAGGATAGGCAGCACCTTCTCTTCCGTATGGCGCGCAAGCCACATGTCAATCTGGAAGCTTTTGGCGGTCTCAGCTACCTTGAGCTTGATAGTATCTAGAAAGGAGTCGCTCTGCTCGACATCAAAGGTGGAAGACGTCGGCGCCGGATCTTTGTTGAAGATGTCAGGCATAGCCACAAGGAAGCCCTCGCTGGCAAACTTGTCGGCCTGAATCTGGTTGTTTGTCGAGTGAACGCCCGTACCACCTGTAAGGAGGAGCAAGAAGCGAGCTTGTGCATGGGGGTAGTCGGCGGGCTTGGAGATGTATACATCGGTGTCGTTGATTTGGATGATTTCGCCGGTAGCGGATTGGCCATGTGCTGTGCTTATGAGCCTCTCTCTTTTCACTACCTTAATCGTCTACCACCAAGTCAACTTACGAGCCGGCCGGTCTGAAACGCAATGTTCGCTGTGTTCTCCCATGGTTGGTCCGGTCTGAGCAGGAGTGTCGCCGGGAATGACAGGCTCCTGGACAGGAGCAGCAGCATCGCTCTCGGGCGCCTTCGTCGCAATCTCGGCTTCAGCCATGATGGCAGTTGAAAACGTATGGTATGGTGTAGTACTAAGGTTCCAGTGCAATAAAAGTCGCCAAAGAAAGTTGAGAGTCCGCTGAATCGTGGGTCAGGAACGTTAGAGAAACAATGGTTGCCTGGTGTCTTCTGTTGGCTAGGTACTTACTACTTGGCCAGCGCCGTTGACAACGAATGAGGGGAGAAATGACGTCCGGATCGTTGCTGCCCCGCGACGCGCCTTGCGAGTGGAGAAGCCCACCCCCAGCTGTCATGCAGTGGCGACAACTGCCAAATACCCGACCCCGCCATCTTCGGGAAACACGCCTCAGTCTAATCCATTAAACAGAACGCGTTCGACGCGTCGTTTCCTGGCCTATCTTTTGCCATCAACCCACCCTTATTATAGTTCATCCCAACCCAGAGTCACCCATCTTGCTTTCCACCACCTTGTACGAAGCAAGCTCAAGATGGATTCTGCTGCTGCATCAAAGATTACACGCGGTGCTCTTGAGTATAACATTCCACAACACCCACACGTTTCTAGAATTTCACTGACCGCTGTCATGACCACAGCGCCATCTTCAACGATCCCGAAAATGTCGCCACCAGGTTTCCCGTGCCTGTTCTACAGTGCCTTCAGATCAAGCCTCTCGCAGGACAGCAAGGGGCGGCCGACCGTTTCCGAATTGTTCTGAGCGACATCAACAACTATGTCCAATCCATGATGGCGACCCAGGTCAACCACGTGATTCACGATGGGCAACTCGTCAAGAACTGCCTTGTTCGCGTCACCCAGTACCAACCCAACTCTGTGAAGGGCAAAAAGTCGGTGCATTATTCATGTGAGACTGATTTTGAGGCTAACACGATGATAGCATCCTCATTATCCTCGGTCTCGAGGTCATTCCAGAACTTGGCACACCTGAGAAAATTGGTGACCCCTTGGCCTTCGAACCCCTCCCTGAGGGCGCAGCCCCCAACGCGGGAAACACAGGCAATGCGCCGATCCAAGGCCAAAACTTTTATGGAGCAAAGAAGGAGGAAGAGAAAGAGAAGCCAAGAATCTCGCAGATTCCTAGTCGCAGTGTTGCCGGTACAAGCCACGGCAGCAGCAACATATACCCCATCGAGGCACTGTCTCCCTACGCGCACAAATGGACTATCAAGGCCCGCGTTACCCAAAAGTCAGATATCCGGACGTGGCACAAGCCAAGCGGAGAAGGCAAGCTCTTCTCGGTCAACCTGCTTGACGAGAGCGGCGAAATTAAGGCGACAGGCTTCAACGAGCAGTGTGATCAATATTACGACCTGCTGCAAGAGGGCTCCGTCTACTATATCTCGAACCCCTGTAAGGTCGGCATGGCCAAGAAGCAGTTTACCAACCTTCCCAACGACTACGAGCTCACTTTTGAGCGAGATACGGTGATTGAGAAGGCCGAAGATCAAACCAACGTCCCGCAGGTTCGCTACAACTTCTGCAACATCCAGGAGTTGCAGAGTGTCGAGAAGGATGCGACGGTTGACGTTGTCGGTGTACTCAAAGATGTTGGCGAAGTCTCGCAGATCGTGTCCAAGTCTACAGGCAAACCATACGAGAAGCGTGAACTAACACTCGTTGACGACAGCAACTTCTCTGTTCGCATCACTATCTGGGGCAAGTCTGCCCAAGGCTTTGACGCAAGCCCGGAATCGGTCGTCGCCTTCAAGGGTGTCAAGGTTTCCGACTTTGGCGGTCGCAGTCTGAGTCTCTTGTCGTCGGGCACCATGTCCGTCGACCCTGATATTCCTGATGCTCACCGCCTGAAGGGCTGGTACGACTCGTCTGGTCGTAATGATGCCTTCGCAACGCACAACAGCATGGGCTCCGGTTTGGGTGCTGCCACTGGGCGCCCCGACGAAGACAAGGTTGTTGTGCAGGTCAAGGACGAGCAGCTCGGCATGGGCGAAAAGCAGGACTTTTTCAACCTCAAAGCAACCATTGTCTATATTAAGCAGGATACCTTTGCGTACCCTGCTTGCCGCAACGAAGGCTGCAACAAAAAGGTTGTTGACATGAATGACGGCACATGGCGCTGCGACAAGTGTGACGTCTCTCACGACAGGCCCGAGTATCGCTACATCATGTCTGTGAACGTATGCGATCACACATCACAGCTGTGGCTTAGCTGTTTCGACGAAGTTGGCCGCTCTATCATGGGCATGTCTGCGGATCAGCTCATGGAACTCAAGGAGGGCGGCGACGAAGCAACGCTCGCCAACGCTTTCGAGGCAGCCAATTGCAAGAAGCTCGCGTTCCGCTGCAGTGCCAAGATGGACACTTTCGGCGAGTCCCAGAGGTAAGATATCTATTGGACTTAGGTTCTTTCGAGGACTTTAAAACTAATGGTTATTTCTAGAATTCGATACCAGGCTCGTAGTGCCGCGCCGGTTGAATACAAGTCGGAAGGCAACAAGCTTGCGGAACTGATCAAGCAGTACAGCATCAGTTCGTGAGGCTTTTGTATGACAATGGCGTCGCAGCTGAACATCACGGTACTAAATGACGCGCCTAGGGGGCATATCTGGATTATGGAGAGCAAAAGCGGAATGTTCGAGTGTATCATGAGCCATGAACGGCGAAAGCCGAGAAGAGTATTGTGCTGTTCCTTTGCTGAACAATTATGATCAATACAAGGCATACAATGTTCAACACGGCCGTACAACGCATTCATGTGATCTCATCATGTTTCCTCTACTGGCTATTCTATGACCAGTTTTGCCACTGACCCCCTTTTCTCTGCAGAAACTAGCAGAGGCCTAAGAGGATGATATGCCACACACTGTCTCAGCATGATACCTTGTCCGAAGTCTCAAGAACTCCGTTTCCGAACGCCGGCTCCCTTATGATTTCATGAGACTGCTGGGCCTCGTTCTCCTTCGCCCTACTTGTAAGCCACAACGCTTTCATGTTGTTTGTGAATAAGCAATGCCATTATCAGAAGCCGTGCGTTTTGTCGTTGCCTTCGTCACTCATATATTTCGTGCATTGCGGTTCTGTACCCACGTGTTTTTCTTTGTCTCAGCCCTCATTGTCGTTCTCATACCTAGAGACTACCGAATCCGAGGAGTAAGCCCGGGTCATCTGGGATCGCGTCAAAGTCGGGGTACGCGATAGAGATCAGGGTGCTGATGAAAGAAGCGCTATAGATAGGTTCATCGCTTTCTTCTGAAGGCGACAAGTCCTCCAATAGTAAGTTCGAGAGTGCTGGCGAGGTAGCGAACACGGGCACCGGGGGAGGCGCGTGCACGATGGAGTCTTGAGCTGGACGCTAACCGTGCTGTATGGTATCGACCATGAGGTCCTCGTCCTCAATGGATTGGTCAAAGCCAAAGCCTTGGTCGGCCATGTGCCCCTCCTTCTCTTGGCGCTTCTGCTCGCGTGCAATGTGCCTAGCGTAGTCTCGAGATGCCATGAGGCGTGAATCAGTCGTCTCAACGATGCTGCCGAGGGCTTTGAGATTGTCGACCGCCTTCTTGATTTCTTGCGCAAACTCAGTCTCAGAGAGAACCTCTCCATCGGGGAGGAAGGCAAGATAGCTTGTGCCGTTGGTGTCGGTATCGAGGGACCCTTTGAGCATGCCCGTTGCGATCATATCATGGACAAGAGCTTCTACTTCTTGGTCTGTTGCCAGAAGCTGTCCCGTCTCAGCACTCTTGGTCTGTTCTCTGAGCTCACGAATGCTCAGTTTACAGTAGATCTGAGACAACCCAATAACCTGCCATTTCTGGTAGCCTTTCAAGACTTCCTTGATAAGATCATTGTTGTCATCCTCTTCCCAGATTGCCGCTCCTTTGGTAGCTTCGCTGATGAGCTGGGACACGTTGTAAGTCGAGAAGAGGCTAGCAAAGTCCGCGTAGGGCTTGCTCAAAGTGTGGTATTGTTTGGCTGCGCCGGGGTGGATGTACGCCTGAAGTTTTGGTGCTTGGCCAAAGGCAAGCAGGCTGGTGAGAATCCACTTCTTGTGTGCGTCGCACATTGTGGGGAGGATGCCGCCGTCGCGGCTGGGAAACGCGACGATTCGGCTGAAGGCAGCATAGGCTTTCTTCCACCGCCTGAGCGAGCAGAATATCAGCCCACAGAGGTAGTCGTACTTAATGATGGCTTCTCTTGTCAGAGTGCCCGTGAGCTGACTGGAGGGCGTGATGTACCGTGTCGGGGAAGCGTTCCGATCGCAAGGATATTCGGCGGCGTCTTGGTTGACCATACCAGGAACAAAGACATACGATTCCTCGATAACAGGCAGTATAGGGGCCAAGACCTGGTGTTCGTAGGCCAGTATGACCAGGTTGACATGATGAGAAGTCAACATTTGACCGGTAGGATCAAGTCGAAGGATCGCATTTGAAGCGGCCTCGATAGCCTGAGAACGAGGAAACCACTGGCCAGCCAAGACGTCATTGACAAGCTGCGAGAACAGATCTCCAGCATAGCGGATCTGACGTGCGTCGAAACTCTCAAGGAATCGGAGCGCGTAAGTGCTGAGGTTGTCTCGGTGCAGGGGTCGCGTGGTGTCATTGGCTTTTCTGATCGAGTGAAGAGCCGCAAGATAAGAGATGGAGTTGATCGAGGGGTCCAGGATCTGCAGGGTGGTTCATGGTTAGCTTCTGGGGAAACGGCAATGAACGTCGCGGGGGAAGGCGGGGATGGAGATGACGGTACCTGGAAGAGCTCGCCGGAGGTGGCCTTGATAGTAAAGCTTTGATCGGTAAGAAATCCAGTAATGGCTTTGACATGGTTCCTGGCTGCCTTGTCGTACACCTTGTCCGTCGTGTTCCCGTCGGGTGGGAAGGCCAGGAGATACTCGACAGTGGTGACCATGATGCCCTGCATTGGTGACTTTGATCGTGCGGTGTTGGTGGTCAGCCCTGGATGTGCCGTCGGTCGAGGGCACGCCGAGACTCCAGGCTCTACACTCTGTCGCTTAGTGGTATCAGACAATATCTCTGGGTGCCGAATTGAAATGGGATGGTAAACGAATCGTAATGTTGCCCTCGCACGACTCAGGACGGTGATGTGCACGCCGTGACTTCGAATTGAGTAGCTACGTGAAGGCACTGGCAAGTAGGCAGCTTGATGAAGCTCCAGCTTAGTCAGTGACCAAACGCACTTGCTATGCCTTGCGTCGTGAGGCAACCCCGCGCTTGCGCTCGCCGGGTGGAGGAAGGGACTCCTGATGATACAGTTAGTCAGCAAGCACTATATAACGTAGCCCTGCTGTAGTCACCAAAAATAGCAAGTGTGTGTGGTGTTGGTGCATTTGGCTTAGTTCGTGGCCGACGTGCCCCCAGGGTTACACTATGTATAAAATGCTGACTTATCATGCCACCTGGACTCCCTTCCGCCACCTGGTGTGAGAACTCAATTGTGGGGCTTCTCAAGTTGTTCGATAAGAGGCGGGAGCTTGTCTGGGACCAAAAGTCCATGACGTTATGTAATCCAAGGGTTGCACTAAATAATGCATACCGCGATCCTGCACTAATTTACTGCATATTATTTCCACTGGGTTAGCCGATCGGTCCAATCAAACAGATCCATATTCCAAGCAGCTTTCTGACGACTTTGAACGTCTAGTCTGTTCGGTGACAGCGACAGCTTCAACGAAACCCCCCCTCCTTCAATTGCCATTGAGCACCACAACCACAGCCATGGCGTCGAAACTCACCCCCTTTCTCTTCAGAACGGCTGCCCGGTCAACATGCCGCATCGCGAGGCCACAAATTCGCGCCATCAGCACGTCGACGGTCCGCCCGAGCAGCACCCTCCAAGTGGTACGTCTGTCTCCTAGATCCATCCTCGCCACGATATGCCACGGCACGGGAGCGACAGGGCAGGGCGCTTCGTCAATGGTTGATTGCCTATGTCTACGCGATGCTAAACGTCCTCCCGCGCCTCGGCCGCTGCCTACTTCTCCCCCCCTTCCGCCCCTTCCCGCGAAAGCCGCGCTGACCCGTCGTTCGCCCACAGCACCGCAACACGGCCGACAACAATGTCGAGATTCCCTTCAAATTCACCCCGCAGAATGAGGCCGTCATCGCCGAGCTCCTCAAGCGATACCCTCCTCAGTACAAGAAGGCCGCCGTCATGCCCGTCCTCGACCTTGGCCAGCGTCAGCACGGATTCACCTCAATCAGCGTCATGAACGAGGTGGCCCGCATCCTCGAGATGCCCCCGATGCGCGTCTACGAAGTCGCCTCCTTCTACACCATGTACAACCGCACGCCTGTCGGCAAGTTCTTCATCCAGGCCTGCACAACGGTACGTCTTGCTTGTTTTCGACCTGTCTCCCACAATAGCCAGCGAGCCATCTCCGAGCCCCCTTCGACGTTCGAAGATGTTGCCTCTCCTTCCCCCTTCCATCCCACGACAACAAAAAAACTGACAAGCGTTCTCTCCTCTCCATTAGACCCCCTGCCAGCTCGGCGGCTGCGGCTCCGACGCCATCGTCAAGACGATCGAGGAGCACCTCGGCATCAAGCAGGGCGAGACGACGGCCGACGGCCTCTTCTCCTACCTCGAGGTCGAGTGCCTCGGCGCCTGCGTCAACGCGCCCATGGTCCAGATCAACGACGACTACTACGAGGACCTGACCCCCGAGACAACCCGGCAGCTCATCGATGCCCTCCGCGCCAGCGTCTCCATTGTCAACGGCGAGGCTACCGTCGACCACGCCAAGGTCCCCAAGCCCGGCCCCATCAACTCGGGCCGCCAGACGTGCGAGAACAGCGCCGGCCCCACAAACCTGACGAGCGAGCCCTGGGGTATCGAGACCACGAGGAGTGATCTGTAGGAGAAAGGCGCGCCAGCATTTGGTGAGACGCATCGTGTAGGTTGATGGATCAGAACGTGCGACAACTGGCGGGGGAGCGAAATGGTCCCGGTTTTTAGGAATTGTACATAACCTAGGTCGAGACGAGAACTGCGTGGAAAATGCAATGCGTTTAGAATCCCTTTTTGTATTCAAGTTTTTGTCCCACAAATTGCTCGCTACTTGTTCTCCATGATATTTTTTCCCCCCTTTGGTTCACCTCAACTGTATGGGTTGAACCTCGGGTCAAGCATGTCTCGCTCTCACTCGCCCAAACGCAGAATCCATCCATCGGACAAATGCCTGTTGCCAGACCCAACGCCGCCCCAGACCAAGATGCCCGATTCTTCCAGCTCGCCCATCGCCGCCGTGGCAATGTAGCCTCGCGGAAGCGGCTCACCATCGTCGTTGTCGTCATCATATGATCCCATCTGCAGTCTGTTCCATTTGCCCTCACCTGTCGGTTTACCCAGAGCCTGCCACATGGCGTCCCGCACGCTCGCGGCCGTCATACCTAGAGGCGGCACTTGGAATGCCCACACGTCGTTAAAGAAGGACGTTGTGGTTCCTTCGCGGCCGCGTTCCGCAACACCGTCAGCAGCCTCGCCACCCACGAGCAAGAGGTACTCGCGACCCGCACCGCTCGTGACGGTCTCCAGCCCAGCAAAACCTCGAGGCGCAGGCCATTCCTGGGCAGCAACTAGAGGAATTTCCGTCTCGCCACCGGATGCACCGGCGACGATGCTCTGCCAGCCGCCGCGAGCGCGAACGCAGACCTCACCACGTGAGTTGCCATCGTCAAACATCTCGACCTCGAGATGCACAAAGTCGAGCTGGCCGCCGATCGGGCCAGAGCCGTCATGGCCGCCGAAGCGGAAGAGGCGGCTCTTGCTGACGCACATGGCTGCCCCGGCGCGAGCAGGGCCAGGTGCGGCAGGAAGCTCAATCCAGATACGGGAGCGAACGTCAAAGGCCCAGAGATCGCATGCACGTTTTTCCTCGCTGCTGGCAACTTCGGGAGAGGCAATAGATGACGGCGCAACGATGCCGCCGTGGACAAAGAAGGTGCCAAAGCCGTCGGAGTCATCATCAGTTGCATGCAGGGCGACGTTGCCTACAATGGGGGCCTGCGGGGTGCCGACCTCGGCCGAATCGCCCTGAGCCCAGGCCATCCAAGTCTGGTTGCGCTTCGGAGCCCGTGAAGCGAAATCACGGGGGCGATCGGTGGCGGTCGCAGCATGGCCGTGACGCGGGGCCGGGGTTGGTGTCAGCGTAACACCCGGCGCAGGAGGCACAGGGTCGAGGAATGTCCAGGCATGTGTGCGAGTGTCAAAGACCCAAACACGACCGTATTCGTTGAGCGGCTGAGCAGTGGAGGGGTTGCGGCCGCCGAAGAGGAAAATACGATGACCGAGCGTCGCCGTGGCGTGGCCGGCGCGAGGGCCGGGGACAAGCGGTAGTGAGGCGCTTGGGGGCAATGGCTCCTCGGGCTGCTTGCCCTTGGCCGAAGCGCTTGTAGTGGGAGTCACTTCATCCTCCTCCTCCTCCTCCTCCTCCTCATCGTCATCGTCAAAGGAGGGGTCCGCTCCCGTCGTGGGGGATGCGAGAGGCACATCGTCGAGGTCTCTTTCTTTTCCCTTGGCACTGCTGGGGGCATCCTCGGCTTGCTCTGCGGCAGCCAGCGGCTCAACCGCCGGGGCTATTTCCTCGGCGACCGTCTCCGGCTCGGCCGCCGACTCGGGGGGCGGAGTGTACGCCTTGGGAGGTGCAGCCTTGATAGTGTAATAATCGGCGCCGGCGCTGTTGTAGGGCAAGGTCACGACATGCATATCGTTGGTAGCAGGGCGACCGGGCTGGGTGTCGCCGCCAAAGATGTATGCCGTGCCATTGACGACATTGACGGAGTGGGAGGACAGCGGCAGCGGCGGGATGTCGATCTTCTCCCAAGTGCCCTTCATAGGGGCAGGGCCCTTGGGCTTGTGGGAGGCGGGCGCATGAGTTGTGGTGGCATTCGGCAGAGTCATGGACGGGAGGTTCTGGGGGATGGATTGGAGCAGGTCGGTGGTGCGACGCTTGAGGGTTGCGAATGATTCCATGATGGCGGCGGTCGAATGTCGGGTAAGGTACCTTGTGTGAGGAGATGTGTGAGACGGACAATGGTGGCTACAGAGAGGGGAGGAGAAGGGTGGAAGTCGACTCGTGTCGAGCGAGGCGCCTTCAAGCGTTGGCCGGCGGTTTGCTGACTGCTGGAGCTGGGGCGAAGCTGGGATGATGAGTGGTACCTGGCGTGGTAGGGTAAAGTAGGTACCTACCGCAGGGAAGGTCTGGGGTTCTTATGACGTAGCAATTATGGATGCCAGTGGTGATGTTGCTGCTGTTGTTGCAAGATGTCGTCTCGTTGTGTTTCGACTTGCCGTAGCGAGGGAGGTGAGATGCACGTCAGGCCAAGTCTGGCTTCTTGAAAGAAAGAAGCGACGGCGCGCCATCTGTCTGGCAACGAACCGACCATGGCGATGGTCGTTGCTCACTCGTATCGCCGGTTGCGGGAGTGGGGAGGGGGAATGGGTCCAGGAAGAGGGAGGGACGCCTTGCCATCATCAGTGTGGCTCAGCTGCCGTAGGGTAGCTCCAGCTCTGTTTTTAGCTCGCTTGCTGCCAGGACGCGCTGGAGTTAAGCACTGGGGCCAGGTGCGAAGCAAGAACTTTCAGGGTCGTTCCTTGCTTGGCACCTTGGACATCGCAACTACTGGTGGGGTGGTCCCCGGCGTTTGTGCCGGCTATGCCAGCTGCGTGCCACGTGACTGTTCATCCCGAATGCTCCCTGTCTGCTTTTCGCCGAGTCTTGGCATGGCCTCTGCCTCGTGCTTCGGGAGGTGCGCCTTCGTGAAGTCTGTCTCTCTGTCTTGAAATGACGACTTGAATGACGTCCCACCGTGCGACATGATTGTGTCGGACTTTACAGCCCATGAGCTTCCTGGTTGGTTGCCTCACCAAATCCTCACGAGGCGAAGTGAATCGCGTCAGGCTGGCGACCCCTTCATTCAACCTCGGTAGGCAGACAACAGCTAGCAATGACTGGCAAAGATCCTGGAGGAGGGTGACTCGACTACAGTCATGAAGCGCAGCTCGTGCAGGATCAATTGGTGCTATGCACATTGAGGTCTGATGACCTTCCTGTGAGATACTACTGTCCTTCCCGCCCCCTCCTATTTCCGTTCAAGGAACGCCTTCAAGATGACTGCAACGTTGCTGTCATACCTTCCCTATTGATGCGCGTCCCTGCCGACGTTGTGTTACCCAAAAGCAGACGCTCCCTGCCCTTCTTTGGCTCTCACCGCGAATATGGCTGCGGAACCCAGTCGGCACCGTCGCACGAAGCCGTCCAACCTTCACCTGCCTCAGTCAGAACCGGAAACAACACCATTTTATGACCCCATGTAACTAAATGGAGAAAATGGTACGCTGAGAAGGCTTTCGCCCAACATACCTAGGTAGGTCGATGGGTAAGGTAGCTGATATTCACCGATCACGTCAGTGGGGACCCGAAACCGGCCCCACAAGCGCCGACCAAGAGCCCCGGGCCTAGACCTCCGTCTCAGCCCCAGGCCCGGTAGGCGAACTACCAAGACAAATAGTTCAGCCTCCTATAACCCGAAAGAGAAACCTGCAGTCACCGGTCAACCAAAGAATGATAAGGCAAGAGACCACGCTCCATAGATGACCACCCTCTTTCTTGGCCCAGCAACATACACCCCCCTCCTTTCGCTCCTCTTTCTCTCTTAGAAGGGTTCTCCCCTGTCCCCCGGGGATTTCGCATCGCCGTCTTCCGCCATCCGAACACCATCGCCCCCTCGCTAAAATCCTCTGGCCCTAATTTCGGCGCCCTCCAGCACATCGGACAGCGCCACTGACCAACGCACCTCCATAGCGCCGGGCACCCCACGTCGGCCTGAGAAGCCACCAATGATGCTGATCATCACGATCACACACATGATCATCGCCGGACATTTCTTTCCTTTAGCCCCATGGCGCTCGTGGGCAGGCACGGAGAGTGTTGCTAATCTCGGCGTCTCGATTCGTGGCTGAGACGAGGAGGACAGCTGCCCAGGCCAGCAACTGGCAGGTGGCCACTGCACCGAGACAGGTTGTGTGACTAAGAATTTCATAACGATGATTGACACTGAAAAATGTAATGGACATGCCCGGTCTAAACATGTCTCTGTGGCACTTTGTATTCTCTCGAAGGAAACACAGTAGCGTGTATGAGGAGGAAGAACAGGAGGAAGAGAAAACAGCAAAAGCAGATCACCCAATCATGAAAACGTGAGAGAGAGAGAGAGATAGAGACAGACCCTCCTTGCATAGCAGCCTCCCAAAGCATCAGGGATATCATACTTGCCCCAAAAACGCCCATAAGCCATAAAATCGTGACCAGTATATGCGCAAGACAAAGGCCGTCAAGGTACAATTCGTGCGTCATCAGTCTTCTTCGCCGTCGGCATCAACATCATCCGCCAACTCCTCCTCATACCTGGCTGCTTGTGGACTAGATGATGAGTGACCCTTCGCGCCTCTCTTCGCAACACCGCTGGCAGAGGCGGACTGCCCTCGGAGGGGGTGCATCAGCTCCCAGTCACCAGCGTCCGTCTTGCGCACGACGCCGACCTCGGGACTCGCCGCCCAATTGGTGAGGGTAGGATCTTCATCACCCCCGAATGAGAGCATCGGCTCACGGCCCTCAGAGGCCTTCTCAAGGTGCTTGGCGACGTGCTCCATGCGCTCATCCCAGGCATTCGCCCCCGAGAACACCATGTCGCAGCCGGCTGCAGGGCAGTGCATGTGTGTCGGAAGTTCGCATCGTCGTCGCTCTGCTTCAGTCTGCATCTCGCGCAGGCGATCGTCCCACTCAGGGGTCGGTTTTCCCAGGCGCAGAGCCTTGGCGATGGGAGGGGGGGCATGCATGCGGCGCACATGCTGGGTGTAGAGGTCTTTGCGGTTGAAGATGGCACCACGAGGCAGCAGCGAAGGGGTGTCGGTGGCAGGGGAAGCCTGTTGAGAAGGGGAGGACGGGTTGGTGCAGCTCTCGCAGGCGTCTTGTTTGCAGTGCCAAAAGCTCAGGGCCAGGTGCTGTGTGACAACGTGACGCTTCCACTCATTTTTACTGGGAAAACTCGATGAACAGCCAGCAAAATTGAAGATGCAAACAAAGGGGCGGATATGTTTGCCTTTCATGTGCTTCTGCAGCGCCGCCTCGTCTCGGAACGGCCCCTGGGCGCAAGCCTCGCACGACAATGCATGCTTCGTCGAATGAGGCGCCTCGTAGCTCGACTTTGACGGAACTGCGCGTGGCAGAGCATGCGCCTTGGAACGCTTCCGCGCAGGTCGCGTGGCGACATACTGAGCCTTGTTTGCGTCACTGCGTGTCCGTTTCCTGGAAGAATGGGGTGTCCACTCCTTGTCCTCGTCCTCGTGTTTCAGTATCGTCTCCTCTGCCTCGAGCTCGGACTGATCGCGCTCCTCGAAGTCGGGGTCGGGGTAGGTAGGCTGAGACTGGGAATGCGCAACGAAAATCTCGTCCTTGACTTGCACTTCCATCTCTGATTGCGACCCGGCGCTGCTGAAGCTAAGAGCCATGGAGCCATCGTATTCAGGGGCCTTCTCGTTCTCAAAGATACTCTGGGAGGGGTTGACGTTCAGTAGGTTGACATAGGGATTGTCTTGCGTCGGGACGATCCCTGTTATGGTGTACAGGCACGACTGCTGCACATCCCAAGACGGCTGGAATTTGCTGGTCTGCGAGAATGGAGATGCCGCTGACATGTCGGGGGGCGTGGAGGGCAGAACATCGATTTCGGTAGGTGGACTCAGTGAGTCGCTGCAAGAAGAAGAGTGGTGCTGGGAAAAGGGAGAGCCATGGCGGCCCTGTGAGACGGGTGGAAGTGGATTCACATCATGCTGGGCATACGCGTAGTTGGCCTGGAACTGGCCGAGGGCAAAGAAAGAGGTTGACGGTCCGACCATGTATTGCTGGAGCTGATGGGTGTGTACACCTGGCCATGACACGGTCCCCAGGTGAGTTGTCAGGCCTTGCTCAAGATTCGGATCGATTGGTGGTGTCATATCAAAGTTCAGGGCATCCTCGGTGGGAGAGGCCTGATTCTGACCGTAGTCCTGGTGTTCGGGGTAGAAGGGGCCCTGCGTGAGTCGCCTATCAAGACGGAACATGTGGTATGTCATGTTGTCTGGGTCGTTTAACAACGGGAGAGCACAGAAACAGGGGCTGCGTGAAAAGTAACACAGCGAGGAAGAGGCTGCAGAGTGTCGAGAGAACCAGATGTTTGGGGATGCTTTGTGGTAGAGATAGGCGGCAGCTATCCTGTGCTATGATGCGAGTGGGACAGCAACAACCAGGCTCGGCGGAGAGAAGCAGGTGGATTGCCGATGACGAAGAGGGATGAGGGTATCAGGAGGAGTGTTATAGTTTGTCGATAGACGGAACAGGAGGGTCACGGATGGCACTTTGCGCGACAGAGTCTGCCCTTTCGTATTAGTACTAAGCAGACGCTCGGCAGAGGAAGGAACGGGCACAGCAGAGGGAGCCAGAGGGGGCAGCAGCTGCCCCCAGAACAAGCAGGAGATTTGAGGCTCTGCCCTCCCATGCCCAAGTCAAGGTACACTCCAGGGCTCACTGCACGCTGGAGGTGGTGGTGGAGTGGAGTGGTCCAGAAGTCGGCCTGGACGGCTGGATGGACGTGTCGCGTCGTACAAATATACTTGGGTCTCGAGCCCTCGCCGACTCGGTAGCGGCCAGGGTCTGAAGGGGATGAGGGCTGGCATGCTGCCCCTGGACATGAGGTGGCAGGTCCCGAATTGGCATACTGACGGCATGGACAGGTAAATCCGAGCCACGGGGCGCGGCCCAGGCCTCTCTGCAGTAGGGGGAAGGACGAGGAGGGGGGGAGGGGGTACGGTTGGCCGTCCAGGCAAGGAGGGGGGAGAGTGGTCAAGGATGAGCTGGGGTTGTTGATGTGACATCTTCGGTGGCCGGTCCTCTCTGGTATGTTTTCCATCCAGTCGATCCCTACTTCGTTCAGTCCGGCTCGCCTCCCAGCTGGTCTACCTAGACGCTGGGGCTGAACGGCATGGCATAGCATGGAGACATGCGGGAGGATGAAGCGCCCATGGAGCAAGACATGGCGGCGCCAGAACCTTGGGTTGCACCTCAGGAGGCCTTGGCCGTTGTCCCCTGTGACGGAACAGCACGGGAACGCCCGTCATCATGAGGCAGAACGCAAAGAAAAAGTAAAAGGAAGTGGTGGAAAAGAAGCACTCTGCCCGTAGATCGAAGATCCGACGTCAATTGGCCCACGGCGGTGAAGTAGATAAATCGCCAAAGGCGATCCGCACGTCGTTAAGGCGTCCAAGCCTGGAGGTGAGGGGCAGGCAAAGGCAGGCAGACTCGTTGCCTACCTGCCTGGAGGTACCTAAGGCACTTATGTAGGTACCTAGGTACCTTAAGAGAGAGAGAGTGTGTGTGTGTGTGTGAGGTGCGTCGGTTGGCGCCTGTTGGCTGGGACTGACCCACATCGTTCATCGTTCATCGTTCATCGGTATCGGGGGAAACCTGCGAGCCCCTAAGGCCCAAGTCATCGGAACATGGGAGGATCCTGGGTACAGCTGTTGGCAATGACTGCAGAGATGATTCGATGCGTATCTGCGCCATGTGCAAGACTTAAGACTTGGCCGTCGTACAAGGTCCTTGGAGGACGGGAGGGAGAGGAGACGCATCGGGCCCGAATGGACGTGGACGGGACATGAAAAGCCCCACCGCGCTCTTGAGGTGCATCAGACCATCGTGCCATGCTACTGGGCGGCTCCTCGAGTCGCCGGCTGTGTATCTCTCCCAATGTCCAGTGTGCAATAGGCATTAGGTACCTTACCCAGGTACCTACCTGGATACCTTGACCCACCTTACCTGGATAAGGTAGGTACCTATCTTAGGTACCTAGGCAGGTAGGTACAGGGGGGTGGGGTGCCCTGAAGATTCGCTTTGGGTGACCTGGGCGTGCACTGGACTTCTACTAGGTAGGTAGGTAGGTATTCACAGCACTTATTACCCACATGTATACAGAGAGTCTTGGGCACCTCCCCACCTCCCCTCCCCTTGTCACATCCTCCCCCCCTTTTCGCTATCCTACCATTCACTATCCTTCAGCACCGCTTGGCATATATTGCCCAATTCCATGACCGAAGGCCTAATTAGGAAATTCACTCGACGCAACTCACTGGCCCAGACTGTGGACCCCTTCCCATGTAATTCCAAACGTTCTGTGGTTGGGCCGGATGCGAGGCACGCGCTAAGCCCTGGTTGCCTCGTCTTCATCGCCTCCGTCCTTCACTGACTATGGGCAACCGACATACAAAACATGGGCACCAACACTGACACTGACACTGACACAACAATGCCACTGACGGGCCGCCTCCGCCTCCTCCACTCATGACAATCATCGCCCCCCCCCCCCCCGGTCCGTTAGCGAGTGAGACCGGTCTGTCAGTTCAGAGTGAGTAACCACATCGAATTCTTGACACCCTTATTCGAATCCCCCTTCGCCTCAGTGTGTCACGTAAATGGCTGTTTGGGAGGCTCGCTGGCTCTCCATCTCCAAGCCCAGCCACTCCAGCAAGACAGATCTGTGCCGTGAGGTGGGTGTTGGTGATGTCCATCCTCACCTGTGCGCCTACATACACCACCAAACCAGAAGAGGCGCGCCTGGCGCCTCGTGCCACGCCTACGCCCCCATCTTCGAGCTCAAGATCCTTCGAGGTCAGGCCCAGCTTCATCCGAGACATGAGGCGTCTCCTCAGCGTCTATTTTCTTCCTTGGCCAAAAATTTCCGTCGGAGGAGGAAGCGGCCTCCGATCTCATGGGACGCCGATGCGCAGCCCCCAAATGACGCCAAACTCAGCCTCCAGCCTCCAGCCTCCCTCCCTCTTCTCTCCCGTCATGGGGAAATTCTCCCCACGCGGAGGCAGACTTTCTGCTCCTCGTGGCGAAGCACATCGCGGTCCCAATATCGTTACGGTCCCATCGCGATCTAACGTAGGAGACTGAATATTCCGCCATCTGCTCGTGGACTCAACGTCTCATCCGATACGTCCATTTCTGTGCAAACAACCATCACCCAGCAAATAATGCCTAGAGAAGAGCCCTACAAGATGGGCATCCAGCTCGTCGGCTCGGGCAAGATCGCCCTAGGTGGCTGCCCGGGAGGCCTGTTTTCCCCGGTCGATGGCACCATTCATTTCTAGCCCACTCCTAGATGCCTGCCCTCGTCACCATCTGCAGCCGTGAGCACCTTGCGCCGCGATAAGTCCCGTTTCCTCTGCTTATTTGGTATATGCCACAGCGCTCTTTCTCCTGCTGCCCCCTGCCCATCTTATGGCCCCCAATACCCGTCCACATGGATAGTCGTGCATCTCCGAAACCCTGGGCCTGTGCCGCTCATGAGCATCTGCTCATTCATCCGCGACTCAGAGTGTGCCCTTACGCCCCCAACAATCCACTGAATCACCAGATCTTGGAGATGCCAAAAATTGCAAAGTAAGGTACAAATCCAGATCACCAAAGCACCAAGCGCATACCAAATTCTTTGCAAAGCTGAAACTGGAGGCGGCTGAGCACCTGACTGCTCCCTATGTTGCCGTTGGGCCACGCGAACAAGGAACGTCTGAGCGAGTCACCAAGTGATCACATACAAGTGCAGCAACCAGAAAGCTGGTCGTGAGCCAAGAAATATTTAGAGGCTGACGTCTCTAATCGTCATACTCAAACAATGCGAAATATATCACGATGCTTTCAAATCGCTACATTCGGCAGCAGGTCCCTGGTGATTTTCTGCAATGCTTATGGTTGATTTTCTGAATCACCCAGCCATAATTGGAATTCTCGCCGGTTGCTCTACGTCTCTACTGGGCAGTTGTCACATCGAGAATGCGCACAACACACGCAAGCCCGGTTGAACCTGAAACTGGACTGCATGGCGCAATCGCACTAGATGTAATTAATAGATATTCGCATTGAAGGGGTTGGATGTTAACCTACGCAAGTCCACATCGTCGCCAGTTGTCCCCTTGGTCGTCTTGACTCTGGGCACTCGCTGTCGTCGTCTAACTTCCTTTTGCCAGGCAGGGTAGAATTAGACGCGAGACGGCCACTATTCGATGGAAATATCCGGGCAGTAGCTTGATGACTAGGTGAAGACTTCGGTGTCTCCATGCTGCTAGAGCTCGGAGTAGAGCCAGCTGCCGAGACCTTGTTTTCCAGGTGTTTCCACTCCGATATGCTCCTCTTGGCCGTGTTTCGGCCGCAAAAGTGGTCGTCGATGTGGTCGAACCGCTTTGTCAGAGATTGCATTGCAGTATGGCTTTTCTCCACGATCTTCTCGCAGAAGCCACACCAATATCGTAAATCACAATCTCGGCCAATGCGGCAGCTGTGCAGTTCCGCCTCCAAAGCGCTCACATCTCGAAAGTTGTGTGTGTCCTGCAGATGTACCTTGAAATCTTCGCGGCGAGGGAATACCTTGCCGCATATGGTTCCCACCCCATTCGAGGCTCGCTCGTTACATTTCCATACCTCAAGCTGAGTATGTTGACTGGTTTCGTGCCGTTTCCAATCGTTCTTGCTCCCGAAACTTTTGTAGCATTTCAGAAATGTACAGCCATAGGGCTTGTCATGTCTTTTTTTGTGCTTCCTAAAACCTAATCAATATTCATTACATGAGTCATATGTGTTTGGGTCTGCTTACTTGAGATCGCATTTTCTTCGAAAGCTCTTGTTGCAATCAGGACATGGATGTTGCGAATTAGCTTGCGCCGTTATGCGTGCCTTTGTTGGTTCGGCGCGAACTGGGTTGTGCCTCTCCCTCAAGAACTTCTCCAACAAGGCTTCAGGTACAGTTTGGAGGAACTGATGAATTTGCTGATCAGTCATAGTGATGTCTTGAGTAGATGTCGGTGAAATGTCGCGAGCTCCGCCGGTGTCGATGCCTTGGGATAGGACTGGAGGCGTATTTATCACCTCAACAAGACTACCTGCACTTGTGGCTTTTGGGTCACCTGAGACCTCCGAGTGATCGTCGCGACGCATGGGCTTCCTCTCCTCATGCAAGTCTTCAGACAGAGAACCGCCATCTGCCTCAGAAGCAGACGTATCTGAAGCGTCGACTTGATCACTTCTGTCAGCTATTGGGTTCTGTTCAATCTCCATGCTTGGATACCGAAGTCTTCCCGCCATCAAAAGATGGGGAGCAAGTGTCGTCTCTGGTGGAGTGGTAGCATCAGAAGAGTTCGAGTTTGAGCTCATTCTACGCTGGGTCAAGTTCAGGTGCTTTCGGCAATTCATTCCTCTTCGTTGAGGATTTCCGCCCTGCATGAGGTCCAATGGCAATTCACGAACCGAATGTCCTGTGTTTGGCTCTCCCAGACCAGAAAAGCCGCGGCTGGCAGGGCTTGCATCAGGGATGTCCAACTCTGTTCGAGGGCTGGTGCTATCCACAACGAGGTGTGTCATTTCCAAGTCTTGAGACTGATGATTTACCCACATGGATGGCGGCATTGCCTGGTCGTAGGGTGTGAAGCGGAAGCTTTCGATCGTTGAATCAGACACATCCATGCCTTCCGCAAGGCTTCCGACATCTTGTTGTTGAGACCTAATTGAGCAAGAGTATAAGTAACGGTGAAAAGAAACTCGACGTAACAACCTACGGAATTAAATATTGTGTGAGGTCATCGTCGCCTGCTTGAACACCATGAAGGCGTTTGAGGTGAGATCTGAAGTTGTCTGCCCTTGGCCAGATCTTTTTCTTGTTGTGGCACGCCGCCAAGTTGCAATGATATCTGGGCCCGCTAGTATCGGTGTCACGATGAACGCTTCGTTTGTGACGATCCAGATCATTGATTGTGCTAAACCCCTCTTTGCGAGAGCAACCAGAGACATCGCACTTGTGAGGCTTACTGTGCCTCTGCTTATGTTTGCTAGCGACGATGTCAGTGACGAACGGACGTTGCCCATGGTTGGGGATAGGGCCACAATTACTTTAGTTCCGACTTCGTCTTCAGCTTGCTTCCACAGTCAGGGCATATGATCACTGTGCCATGGGCAGTCCCTCGAGTGCGAAGTGTTGACAGGCCACAGGTCTCGTTCATGTACGCATGGTTGTTGGCAGAATTGCTTGTGTGTGATGGCGTCGACGACATACCCGCGAAGGGATCAAAACCATCCATATGCCCAGTCAGACTCTGGGTCTCATGGCCCCGGTCGACATCTTCAAAGACGGAGGCGTTGGCGATACTCTGCTTGGTCCGGCGGCTCTCGTAGCCCGAGTCGGATGGAAGCTGTCCTGGAGGCAGCGTATCACATTCGGACGGGCCCGGGCTGCGCCATTCTGAGTATCGAGGAGCAAAGGCGTCATGCAACGCCGTTGGGCTGTTCTGGTGACGCCCTTGGCCGGCCCGGTGATCGGGGACGATGATACCTGGGGGCACCCAAGGACTGTCATCGGCGCCAGCATCATAAAACTTCCAGATATTCCAAGGCTTCGGAATGCCACGAAGAGGGACGTCGCCGCCACCTGGCGTAAGGTTAACGTCGGTGAGAACATCCTGGCCAGGCAGATGGAAGGGCTGCGGACGCGAGGAACCTATCCCCGCTACCCTCGTCAGGTGGTACGGTGGACCAAGTTGCGAAGGGGAGGGAAAGAGATCCTGAGGCTGAGCCCCCATGAAGGACTAAGAAGAGTTGTCAGGATTTCATGGTCTTGTTATGCAACGCAGAAGGGGATGGGGCGTACTGGGAGACTGTCACGGTCATGGGTGGCATAGGAACCCAAGGCCTTCGACATGATTTCCAGGGACAGCGATTAATAGTGACAGTGGGGGGTGGGGTGGCAAGGCAACGTTGAAGGCTGACTTTGCGACGGGAGTGGCGAGATTGGCGAAGTCACTTTCGAGGCGCGGGGCGCCTTGGGGTGTCGGATCTAGTTGTGAATGCTGCCACAAACAAAATCACATTGATGGCATAGTGCGAGCATAGACGAGAAGCAAAGCTCTGAGCTAGGTTGGTCCAAGGACGTGCCTGGAGGCTTTGAATTGTTGGAGTGACTCTGTGAGAGCAAGTGAAAGAACGGGCCGTGTGAAAGCGAAGGTGGGGTGGGAAGGGAGGACAGAGGGATTATCGAGGTTAGGCGCAGGAATAGGGAGCAGGGAGGCTCAATAGTCGTGAGGCGAATGGGACAGGCAGAATAGCCAGGAGGAACCGTCAAGCCTCTCTCTGCCTCTTTGGACCAGAGTCTGGAATTGAAATGTGAAGAGGACGAAGAGCATCCCACGTAGGTAGATCGGTACGTCGAGGGAAAATGGTGTATTGATGAAGAGGCGGCTCCCGCCCGACGACATCGGCGTAGTGATGATGATGTGAAGCAAGTGTACCCGACCACATTACAAGACCGCGTGAGCATGCAACTTGAAACGAAAAGTGCAAATGCAAGTGCGAACAGTCCTGGCCCATCACCTCATGGTGCGAGAGTGGGCAGGATTCGCTCGGGCAGATGCAACCTCGAGGTGTGGTGGTGTTTGGCAAGGAGGGGGTGGAGGTCCAGGTGGGCGACAGCTTCTTGTGATCGAACCCCCCAATCGCATCGCCGTCCAACAAGGAATTATGAGGCAACCACAATAGCTTTTGGTGAGGAGCGGTTGCCTTCCCTCGTTAGTCCGCCCTGGGCGTTCAACTGCAGCTCTTGCTTGTCCAGGACTCCCGAGCTGGTTTCGCAACAAGTCTCAACTCTCGGTGAGGCATCTGCTCAGTGGGGAGCCAATCAGAGATACGCAGATGGGTTTAGGCAGCCACTGTGGACCCCGGCTGAAGAAGAAGGCAAACAGAGTGGGTGGATGAGCCGCCGTGCGAACCGTCATCTCCTGTCCGCACCCTCGATGTCCGCTCGCGAGACTGGGCGATTTCAAGAAATTGCAGTCACGCGTGTTCACCCTTCTTCCACATCCCTCTTGCGCAACCTGAGACTGCTGAGACGGACAGCTGATGTCATGGCATGCGGTGGACCTCTGGCCATACCCACGGCGAAGCTGCGAGCTGTCCTCCGAGCCCCTCAAGTTCAACACAAAATCTTGATGGCGGCGCTTCAAGTCACTGATGTAGTCTGTCAGAGGCTCATATCTACATTGCAGGGCGTCTAGACTGTTCTTGTTTGGCCAATTTTGGTCCTAGCGGCTTCTTCTCCCGACGGTGGACTCAGCTCTGGAGGTAACTTGCTGGCCAGTATTCAATACCGGGCCATGTGATATCCTTGTCTGCCTTATACGACACAGTCCCACTTGCTCCTGTCTCCGTGCCTCACAGGTAACTTCAAGGCCATGATCTCGTCTGGCAGATACTTCTGCAGGAGAACTCAACAGGCTGTATTTCCTTGTTCGCCAATCAGTCGCAATCAACCCGTTCAAAAGAAGGAGTCCGCGCAAGCGATACAAGACTGTCATCGAACTCTTCATCAAGCCCACGTCAGGCTCTTTGGTCGCCAACCATTTCCCAGGTCATGTCGCTGAGGAGCAGTCTCCGTGAAGACCTACCTTTTGCAGAACGCAGTCGACCACGCACACGGCACTTTGCATGTGCACTTGGGTCGATCATCTCTTCCCGGATTTGGTGAGGCACAGGGATCTTCCTAAGCGCGAGTGCGACGTATAGATCAACCATCCAGACACGTTGAAGACAGGCAGCTCCTGGTGACCCTGGACACAGACTGCAAAGGACCTATTCCCTTGCTCTGCGCCAGCATTCTCAAGCCTTTGCTGTCCCCTGCCTCGGTCCTGGCTGGCGTTTCTCCTGGCTTCTACCTAGACTCATGTTGTCAGCGGACCGCTTCTTCCGCGAACGCGTTGTTTCCCCCTGCGTCTTATCTCTACCCTAGCAGTCTTCCATTTCGGACTATCTGTTGTCTTTTGAACAACTTCACCGGGGTCTCAGAGCAGCAAATAACGTAAACGCGTGGTTTGAATAGTTCCATAATTTCTGTTCTGACCTGCCTGGCGAACCTCTCGCTTCAACAATGGCCTGGAGATGGTTGGAAAACGCAGCCACCTTCTACTCATGTCTGCCTGTCAAAGTAAACGAGCCAGAATGTGATCTATGATGTCTTGAACAGTCGCTATCCGATTCAAAAACTGACGTTGATCTCGTGACGATAATTTTTGTAAACAGGTCCATTGCAAAAGGCCACTCGCTCTAACCCCATGTGCGATGGTCCCTGGCTACCCTCGAGACGTATAAGCAAACCGTCGTTGTCTTGGCCTCGTCAGTACATCGATGCATGGGTCGAGACTCAGGGACTTGCTGGGATGTCGGATCATTTGGTTGCTCGAACATGAGTCCGGGCCTCAACGTCGAGAGCTACAGCATGACCGTGGCGCCACAGTCTTTGGAATTGACCTACTTTACAGTGTAAGTGGTAATTTCGTCTGGTGTAACCCGGAATATCATGTTGACAATCTCAAGCCCCTGTTTCACCGTAATTCGCGGGTAACGGTATCAAGTCTCCCCAGTCACCCGTCCGTTGCAGGTGCCAGATCGAGGTTTCTAGGCCCTGCAGACGCAGTAATACACAGCAGGCCTTTGAAGTCCGGCTTGAAAGATGTGATGTGCCAACACCCGAGGTCAAGTGCATTGTTAAATTCGGCAGACACGCTTTCTGCAGGCCTTGAAGGGATATGCGTGCGCTGGGAACCGACAGAAGCGAACATCCAACGAGATCCATGCAAATTTGACCAGGTCTGATCGCACACTGTACTTCGAAATTCACGGCGATAGTATGGTCCTCTGTGACTCGGACGCAGTTCACAGGACGGAGAGAAGTCAACGATCTCGCACGGCGGGGTTGGAATATGTGGCGATAAAAGGAGCCACAGGGCCTCACGCAATGACGGGCAACTTGGACCACTATCCCATCGGTTCCAGGTCCCAATAAAAATCCACTAGATTCTATTCCTTCGAACACAGCAACTATCGCAGAATCGGACGAGTCTCGAAGGTCCTACGACGAAGTAAGTTAAGCTGCAAGAGGGAGGCGTAATCCGTCTGAGCTTCATCCTTCCAAAACATTTCACCAGCTGACAATCCATGATATAGGGAATAAGTCCACTATACTGGCAAGCTACGATGTGCGATTGGGAAGAGTTCCTATTTACCTGCAGCCACTCCATCGTGAAGCTCAAGTCATACTGTCACTTCGCCCGCAACGACCCCCACCACCAGTGCTTCAGCGTCAAGGTTCTTCGACACTCGTGGCGGCAAGGTGTGCCGTGTGAGAAATGCCTTCTGTCCTGGGCGCCCCGTGAGAGACGCGAATACTCCCGCCACCGACTCATCCGAATCCCGGAGATGGAGGAGCAGACGTGAGCCTGTCGATAGGCTGTATACACTGCCAGAGATGGTGGAAGCATGCCACTAGTGTAATTATGTGGGAAATCTCGAAATTGTGGCAACGCCGACGTCTCAATCAGCGGCCAGTGGGATGCAGTTGAATTGAGACTGCCTTCAGAAGGGGGCTGGTTGTTACTTTGCCCTCGTTGCATATGAGACGCTACATCGAACGTCAAGTTTGGCCGAGCCTAGACGTAGCGAACATGGTTGACTGAGTCGTCGGCGGTAGAGCGACTGTGAGAGTTTTGGTCGGGAAAAGCTGTGAGATATGCCTCTGTTGCGTGTAGGATGTGGAGGATACCATCAAGTGAATTCTAGTGCATCGCCTCTTGGGGACTCCGTGACATGTGTCCCATTCTTCGGCGACGTCATCTAATGTACCATGGCCAGTCCGGCTTTATCGTAACCACCGAGCCACGTCCTCAAGCACAAGTCTGGGATATGCCAGTCACATCTATGTCGTAGCATCGGCCTCACACTCGGTTAGGGTGTCAATCCAAGCGTGAACACAATGTTGACGAGTGTCAGATTCCCCGATTGAGCGCCGCACACCGGCCCGCTGTGCAACGTGACCATGCAGAGTCCCGGTTGCACAGCTGGTTGATGTCGAGGATGGAACAACTATGCAGTAGCTGACTCCCTTCGACACGGTGTTCGACATAGCTTTCCAGAACCAAGCGCACACTGTCCCAGTTCTGCTGGCCTAGTTCTCCCTGAAGCAGAATGTAGAATATTGCAGTATATTGATGGCGAGCTTTCTGCAGACTGTTGCCATCAAACAACTGTTTGACTGCTCAGCCCGCCATGCCTGCATGAAGATTCAGTATGTTGGCCCGGAACTTATGCGAAGATGTGCTCACTTGGAGGGATGCTGATAACAACCCGATGGCTGCGTGCATCTCCAGAAGCTGTCGGGATGGACTGCCACAAACTCCCTACCGCTCCAAACGGTAAACAGCCGCCGATTGACGTAGTCGATGCAGGTTCAAACGGGCCAGACGAGGTCCTGCAACCCAGCCATGGTTCATGATACGGTGATTCGGCGCGCACAACACAGTGGTGGCAGAGTTCGCGGTAGAGTTTCATCTATTCAATATGAGCGTACTGCTACTCAGATCACACTACACATTCTGCATGAAAAATGGCCATGATTCACTATCACTCTTTGTTAGTTGCTCCAACGACGTAGCCCACAACGTTGTAGCGCTTCGAAAAGTACGTGTTCCAGTCATCTAGCGTCGACTTCTCCTTGTCGTCCAGGTCATGCCACTCGGGCCTGACATCCTCAATTTTGGTCGAAGTCTTCCCCAGGGCGCGAGAAGCATCCTTTCCGGCGAAGACTAAAAGTGACAATCGTCAGAATGAGGCACCGCCATGAGGGAAAGAGCAGAAGACCGGATCGCCAAGTAAAGAGGCGGGTACTTGCCATTGTAAGAACCCCCTTGCTGGTATGCCTTATTTCCGGTCACGTCGTAGACTTTGCCCTGCGTCATGTCAGAAGGAAAAATTGCAATGCCTCGAGCATGTAACGAACCTTGATGGCGACGTAGCACTTTCCACCATCAACTCCTGCGCCATGCGTTAGTCCGCGATGAGTTGATAAATCTAGCGTAGCACAATGGTTTGGAGATTGTCGTCGATGAGATCGACCAAATTCGCCAGACTTACCATTTGCCGCGGCAAGCTCCTCCAGGGTGATCGGGTCATCCTTGGGAGGGGCAAGGGTGACTGGCACCTTGGGCTCGAATCTGCCGGCCATCTTGAAGAACGCCGGTCAAGGTGGGGGTTGAGGTTTGTGTGACGAGCTGCGACAGGACTTCTGCCTCTGAAGATGAGTTCCAAGAGCGCCAACCTCTACACTGCGAAGGCCAGGCGAGAATGAGCTTAGACAGTAAAAGTTGGGATAAGGTAGGTAAGGTAGAGTGCAATGAAGGGCATCACCAGGATGAAATCCCCGCCAGTTCAGTGCGCAATCGAAGGCGATGGATTGATGGCGGGGCATTGTTGCGCCTGTGAGCCTCGGACAAACGACGCTCGGTTGATTCGCCAGAGCAGGGGCCCCGGCCCCACTGTAGCTGTGACGTCTCGAACATTGGTTTGGAGCTTCGGTCCATATCGCGTTGTGCATTGTCAAGGGTTCCTTCAAGCCATCAATTCCCACGATAATTTGGCGCTCGATCCAAGCGCAGCGCCATCATGTCGGCCAACCTCATCAGATCAATACAGACTCTGAACAGGTCAGCCATACGGAGTTCTTCTGCTTCGGCACCTGGATTCTGCTTGATCACCCGGTCGCGACCCATTGCCCGACTCGGATCATCTTGTACCATTGTCGACAAATTGCAGAAGCGCCATCAGACCACGTCGGATAGGCCTCCAGATGCAAGGAAAGCCGTAAAAAGAGGCGCTCCTCCGCCTCCGCCTCCTGGGTTGATGCAGTTCCTGCGCCGAGCGCTGACATTTCGCGGCCTATTTTCCTCTCTCACCCCCAACGGTCTCAAGATCCTGTATCGACAGAGCCCCATTGAGCTCGTGGCAGCTTTAGCTATGTGAGTGCATCAGTCCATGTTGGTTTTAAAGGAGACTCACCAACGTCATTGTCGCCAGTCTCGCCGGCCTGTTAGGCATATCAGCATACATCATCAAAGTATGCATCGAATACTTCTACGCACGCCAGTTCACCAAATATCCTGCGCCGATCGCAAAGTCTCTCCGACGAGCCCTATACTATACCAATATGAGCCCGGACCCACAATTGGCCAAAAAGTGGTACAAGAAGGCTCTGGAGCAGTGCGATGAACTGGGTCTTGATCCGTATTCTGACGATGTGCTGGGCATCAGGATTCAGACAGCGGCGTGGCTCGAGAAAATCGGCAACTATCAAGGAGCCATCACTGTCTTGGAAAGCATAATGAAGGACTGCACAAAATGGGTGGGCGTAATGGAGACGGGTATCGCAGACGGAACCATCGACAAGTCAGGCGTCGTGCCCCCGAGTCAGGCCACACAAGGAGATGGCGAGCAAGATACCCAAGAAGCGGAGGAAGAAAAGCCGGAAAACCTATGGCACAAGCGTAACAGGTTGCTAGCTAAGGCTGTCGGCACCAGCACAAAGCTGGGGGAGCTCTACGCCGACAACCACGTCAACGACTCGGACAATGCCCACGCTCGTCTGACATGGGCTGTGGAGACCGCTCTTTCGGAGTCCAGGCGGCGGTCAGCTGAGGGCGTCAAGCCTGAGGAGGGCAAATGGCTAACCCCTGAAGAATTCGGTGGTGTCATGGAGTGTGAGTAGCTCATCGTGTTGTCAACTCATAAACCTTCTGCTAACATGAAATCTAGCTCTGGCGCAACACTACGAGGCAAAGGACCAATTCCACCTTGCTGTACCGCTTTTGTTCCAGGCCCTACGCCTGTGCCAGAGCCCATGTCACCGTCCAACCATCAGTATGTGAACACCTCCTTGACTGGAATTGATATCAACCAGCCTCTATCTATTGCGTATATGTTATTTCAGGGCGAAGCCTTACTGATCACGATACAGTGAATAATCTTGCAGTTTCCTTCGCACAACACCCAGTTCTGAGCACTCCGCATGCCATTCCGGATGCGCCGGCTCCTTCGGATGCCCTCAGCAGCCCCGGTATGCCCACCACGCGGGATGGACTGCTTGAAGCGGCCTGGAACTGGGCCAAGAACGCTAGGCGGCATGCCAAGGATGTTGAATCCAGCGAGCGAACTCCGGAGTGCGATCAAGCCTGTGCTGTGGCGCTGTCAAACATGGCAGACATTGCCTCATTGCGAGGCAACGCCACAGAGGCCGCTCGTTGGTTCAAGGAATGCATCGACTTCAGCAAGAAGATTGGGTTCCAAGAAGGCGTCGCTCAGGCGGAAGCTCGCTTACAAACACTTAAGACTGCCAACCAGATGCGAAGCCCGACAACTTGAATGTACTGATGAGACATCTCGCGACATCGACGTTGCTGCACCAAAGGCCTAAACAACTAAGAGCAAGATATTTCACTGCAGATTGTCATGATCTGGAGCTTCAACTTGTAATAGATGCCGGTCTCCGTTTAGACACATGTCCGAGTCGAGGTCTCTCTTTCCGGAGCTGTACGAGCCACAGATCGGAGCTTTGCGGCCATGCTCTTGCTCACGTGGAGCGCAGGATCGAATGGCATCCTGTGTTGGGGATGACATTTGGGAAAGGGAGGGGCGTGCCAAATAGGAAGTGCAGCAACACTGGTTCTGCCAACAGCACAGGTATAAGCATTAGGACGAGGAGCCCGGCAGCGAGACCACGACGCTGAAACTCGGCGCTTAATGGGCTGGCAACGAACACTGTCATTTTTTGACTCATAAAGCAAATCAGAACACCAGGCTCTCCTCCAGCCTGACGAACCCTACCCTCCCTCACACTATCGAGAGGACGTGATACAGCGGCGGCGCTAATGATTGGGTGACACGAGAAAGTGCCTTATCGAGCATGCCAAACTCTGCTTATGGCACAGAAGGGGCTTGATAGTCCGACCAAATCACACCAGAGATCACATGTGTTCGGGACACGGGAAGCCGGCCGGATCGAAGAGGTGATGGTGACAGACGCGAGGTCCTGCGAGACCCTGCAGATACATTGGAGTCAGAGCTGCTATAGTTTGTCTTGCAATTGGAAGTGGGATGCTCAAGCCTCATCCGGCAGCCGTAGCTCACTTCCAGACTAGGGCCGCTGAAAGGTCACAGAGAGTGCAGGCGGAATTCCGCTCCTGTTTGACGGGGGCAACGCCCCGGGCACCGTACTGGTTCATCAGAACAGCATTGCGATTGCGATAGATCCAGCACACCTCGGGAGGAATTCTGCCCTATTTCATCGCTGCGAGTCAAGGTCAACAACACCAACCCCAGGCACTTGGACAGGCCACGACGGGCAGAGTGGCGCCCTCACTGGCTGCGTCGACCGGGGGTGGATTGACCACGTTGTTTTCCCGCCCACCCAGCAGTCGTGTGGGCCATGGATTATGGAATAGTGCAAGCTCTAGCCGTCGTGTGCTGTATCATTCCATGGCGCTGTCGAGAGTCCTCCATCCCCGTTCCGCATCCTTCTGGCGTCTGCCCCCCCCCTCATCCTATGTCCAGCACACATGGGTTGCGCAGCTTGCCAACCGGCGGCACCGTTCGTCAAGGAGGGCTTTGGGGAAACATCGCCTGCATCATGCTACAAACACGCCCCCCTCAATCCCTCCTCGCCCCCTCGAGCGCCGCAGATTTGACCTCTGGTGTTCAAGTTTCGCCGCCAAAAAGCCCCCCAAAAGTCGGGAATTGCAATTGCATCACACCCTTGTCCTTTATGCGCTCACACCCCTTCCTTGTCGTTGAATGACACCCTCAACGTACTGGCCCTTGACATGTCAGTCGCACCCATGGGCCGCCCTTTGACAAGTCACTGACGGCTGTGTGCTTCAATACGCCGACCAAGTCAATCCCGCCGGAACCCACTGTTGATCGCAGTGAAGGCTTGGTGTCACTCTCGTGAATGGAGGATGGGGCAAATGGCGGAGTCCCCGCTCATCCTCGACAAGGTGTGATTGACCACCGACATCAGGCTCTGCCAGCAACCACGACCACAAAATGGACTTGGCATCTAGAGCGCAGGCGGAACAACCGGTCGAAGATCAATCTGAGTTGATCTGGGCACAAGCATACGCGCGAGCCTCGTCCCTCACTCTAATCGGGCATCTCTTGGATCAATCGCACGTACATCGCTACTTTAGATCAACACTGCCGATGGGCGAGGAAACATGGGGTGGAATGAGTGGAATGGTACCTTACCCCCAGCGTGTGTCTGCCTGCATTATGGCCGCCACTTTCCCGAAGCTGGTCATGGCTGCACCGACATGGCATTTCTTCAGCATAGTCCCCTAGTACAGCCCAGCCCAGTCCAGTCGGTCCTAGTCGGTCCTGTCTGGACATCTGCTACATATATATATTAAGCCGCCCTCAGGCTGCCCTTTGTGTCTCCGCCTCACCCTTGAGACCGCAAAGAAACGACAACTATTCGACTGCGTCTTTACCTTGGCACACGACTATTGTAGCCATCACAGATTTGAATAGGGACCAGGACCAAATAACCCACTGCCGCCACTCGTACTCTTGGCCTTCGAAGGCTGACACCACTCGCGAACGCTTCAGCATGAAGAACACGGCAGCACTCGACATGGTGGACGCCAATGTCCTGCTCGATTTCGATTCGCGTTATGGCTATGATGAGACTGACCAGTGCCTGAATTCATCAGCGACATGCAGGACCGCAAACTCCATGTCATCAGCCGTACGTTCCCCCTACTCTGGTCGCTCTACGCCTTTCTTGTCGATCCCCTCGGGCCACTTGCCGGGCCATGGTGGGGCTGCGGAGTTCCGCTCCGACACCACGCCGGACACGGTGAAGGCAGAGACGGCTGGCGGAAATGGCCTGGCGCCGAAACCCCATCAAGCACCGAAGCTAACGGTGTTGTGTACAGTTCGACATATCCACAATGTCGCACATGGGCAGCAGCGACACTCTGTACCCGAGTCCTCTCAGTTCGAGGCGTGTCACCGCCTCGCCACAGCCCATGTCAACAGACCCGCCAGAAAGGTCGACTGACGAGGCGTACGCATCATCGTCGTCCGTGGCGGCGTCAATAGCTACCGCAAAGCCCACGGCGAAAAGGAAGCGAGAGAACAGATACAAAAACGCAGCTCCTTCGGTCCTCTCGGTAAGATATTCTGCAAAGCATGCCAGTCTCTCAGTTGTGCTTGCCGCCCACGGCCATGGCGCCTTTTCTTTGGGCTGTTGGCTGACTTTGCAAAAGCGACGTCGGGCGCAGAACAGGGCTTCACAGAGAGCTTATCGCGAACGGAAGGATCAGCGCATCAAGGATCTTGAGCTGCTGCTGTCAGAACAGAAGGAGAAGAGTGAATCGCTTGGACAGGCATACGCAAATCTACATGCCGAGTACTGTAAGCTTCGAGCAATGCAAAGCCGGCCTCGACAGCCTCACCCTCACCAGCAGATTCCCATGTACGGGACGTCGGCCATGAGTGGGATGGCCTCTCAGGCAAATATGAGTTACATGCCGGAAAGCAACTTCGTCTTCCAGACCATGGCAGACTTCTCTCTGTGAAAGAGATAAGACAGGTGCAAGGGGAAACATGAAGTACGGCTGGCTCACTCCTGACGCCATATGCATCAGGAGCACCTGACCATCCTCGGCGCTGGTGTTTTGCGGGAAAGAAGTTAGGCTGGAGTACGAGTCACGAACTCGCTATCGAGGAGTACAGAATTTCGGCGTACCTGATCATGAATTTGGTAGGGCGCACCAGATGGAGCAGGCATACAGCAGAGGTATGAGCTCGACGGACAAAGACGACGACGACTATCCTCTGGGCTCGGCCAAGGCGTAGGCGATTTGGAGTTTGGCGAATGACGTATGGACGCACACTTATGGGTTTGAACTAGGTTTATCTTTGGGAAAGGGTGCAGCTTGTGTGATATCCCGCTCTTCTCTTCTTCTTTGGGATCAAAAGGAGTTCAACGTCTCATGGGAGGGCGGACGGACGGGGACTGGCTATCTGGGCTGGTGTGAGGCACACCACGATATGGAAGTAATCTCCTGTTGAGCGGCAAACCGAGAAATTGCAAACAACGCCGTAAAAAGCAACAAAGCAGATATGGCTGTGAGCAGTGACTAGCATATTCATGCCCCTCATGCCTCGCAGTGAAGATGATGCGCATGAGGAGATTAATGATATGAGGTGATTATGGCGTTTCAAGGCCCTCTATCACCCGAGGGCATGGACGAGTGATAGACACTGATTGCGCAATCAGAGGGGGGAAGCTGCGGTCGGAAAAGACGCCGGAGCCGAGCTGGCGATTTGGCGTCTTGCTAAAACATCCTTATCGGCGCATCACCGATCAACCGTCAGCCCTCTCCGAGCTTGATCGTCGAGCGAAGGGGGAGCGGGGACCCGGCCATCCTGGAAGCCATTGGCCAATGACGTGTTCACAACCGCAGAGCAGAAGCTACTAGATGACTAGGCAACAGAACCGGACATTTTGCGAGTCAGGTCTTTCGGTCACAACCTGTCGGGCTGTTTTCTCGTAGGTCGGAAAGCGAGGGGAGGGGGCTCTTTGACAAAAGGAGTCCTATCATCCCCGACAACTCCGAAGATACGAAGGCATCACCATCGCAGCTTATCACAAGGATGGGATGGGAGAGATGTGGCCTTTTCCGTGCTCATGGGCCCCGGGGGAAAGAGTCACTTGGGCAATTTGAGGCGAAGATCTGAGGTCCAGGTGGTTCTCACGATGGAGTCACCGCAAGGGTCAGCCGCAGTCGGAGCTGGTCAATTGCCTGCTAAGGAAGGCAGCGAGGTCACCTGCCTCGTAGCTCGGCGGGGCCATGGAAGAGCACGGAAATGCGACTTGAGGCTGAGACGTGGCCAGAACGCACCCATTGCAGCATGCGGGACCCAGAGTCCCAGATCACCAGCATGGATAACAACTCGCAACGCATCCACAGTGTATCTAGTATGAGTCAATGAACCTAGAGTCGTGGGATTCGCTTTCGGCGACGGGGCGGGGGAGGGGCATGATTGTAGTCATGAAGCACCTTGATGTTGCGATTCTGTTGAGGCCGACGGAACCTCTTATCGACGAGAGGGTACCCCCAAAGTACGCTGAACAGACTGGGTCGGCAGTGTACCGGTCTAGCGTCTTGAAGGTACTCTGGTATCCACTACCCCGCATTCTCGCCACGCCTCAAGGCGCAGCTGTGTACCTGGGACCCCGGATTACAGTGGGCCCAGTTGCGTCACACGGCTGCTCACAGGCAAGAGCGTTCCGTCAAGCTGGGAGACAGATGCCATCGCTGGACTCTGTCGGCAACCGTTCGCTAGTCTTCAATGAGGTGCATCCAACGCAGAAGACGGCTTTCATGCACCGGCATCGGCAAAACTGGCAAGCCAATGACGTGTGGGCAGGAAGAAGAGACGGAGAGAGAGAGAGAGAGAGAGCGCGACCGGACAAAGGCTCGGCTGGTCTGGAACGGGTACCACCTCATGGTCGTGCGAGTCGGCCCACGCCAGCCGTCGTCTCGTCGTCTACCTTGCGTCAGGTCACGCGATCCCCGACTGACCCCATCGGCCTCTCATTCGGAACGCTCGCGGGACTTGCACTGTCGCTGCCGCTGCCCACCTTTTTCCCTGTCCCCGCCTGAGGCGGCCCCCTCCCAGTCGAGCTGCCCACCCCCTGGCAATGCACCATGGCGGCAGCTCGCCAGGTGATCGCGTGATCTGATAGGTTGCTGGTTGGCTTCATTCGCTGCCCGCTCAAAGCGTCTGGTGGGTAGCAGCTGCTGCTGCAGCAGTAGCCCATGAGCTGGTGTTGCTCTACGTAACCCGGAACCATCACCCATTCAGACATGGAATCGTCTTCTTATTAAAGCTCCCCCTCCTTGGACTTCCTCTCCTCTCCAACTCGCCCTTCTCTCTTCCATCATCACCACAATCTCAACATCATCCCACGACCAATTCGACTGCAATCATCCAATCCGTCTCTCTCCCCAATCCACGCTCCATCAGTACTCACCTCTCCCGCGCTCTCTACCTCTCTCCAATTCCCACTCTCACCAGTAAGTCATCCTCAATGTTCTTCCATAAACCTTGAGCCCCGCATCCCCCAGAGTCCTACCCCTCTCGGTGTGACACTCTGGTTGCGTCGACCCAACATCCCAATCAACATTTACCTGGGCATCTCCATCAAAACTTCATCAAGTGCATCATGAATGCACGTTCTCGAAGCACTCGCCGACACTGAGGCCCAACCTACGTAGTTCTTCGCTAACAAGCCACGCCCAGTGACTCGCTCGCACAAGTACAACGACCGTGACCACGCCGGCCTGGCCGACGGTACTGCCGCACCCCAGGAACACCTCCCTCGCTACTTTGCCAAGCACGGCCACGAAGGCGTCGACCCTAAGAAGATGAAGAAGAGTGGAGGTGGAAAGGCCAACTGGTAAGTCATTCCATATATCGTTCCATTCCCAGTTTCAGGGAAGCTTCAGGCTGCTTCACCTCCTCCATTCCTCAAATCATCAAGCGCATGACATGATTGACAACACACTGACACTGGATTTTCCAAAGGGGCAATGCTGGCGATGAGATCGTTGATGAGGACTTCTCATTTGCCAATCCCCGTCGCCGCTCCAACAGCACTGGCTATGCCAACCAGCTCCTGTCATTCCGGACCAAGTTTGACGTGAACGAGCCCGAGCCCGTCTTTGAGGAGAGCCTCCACGGCCCTACCGAAGACGATGTCGGCGCGGAGCTCGCCAAGACGGAGACATCGGAGAGTGACCGATCCTCCGAGGATGGAAAATCCTCCCAACACTAATGCACCTCGCCCTACGTCGGTGGGCGCCGGCACAAACACTGGTCGCGCGAGGCTGTTGTATTAATTATCACGAAATCTATTATTTACGACAAAGGAGGCGTCTCAGCGACACGTGGGGTGTCCTGGGATTGGGCCTCCGGGATCGGTGTACTGGCGGTTGGCTTTTGCTATTTGAAGAATGGGAACGGACTCAAGCGATGAGGAACAGGTTGTCTCGTCCTCTTGTCTTGTTTCTTAACATGCCTCGGCGGTGGAAACCAGTTGCGCTCGACGATCTCGACGAAAGGTGACGGCAGTTCACCATTGTATCATCACACACAACCAAACGGCCAATGATCTCAGACAAATAGATCCATGCCCTGTAATTGTCTGCTCCTTCAATGTGACTGCCGAATCGTATTGCACCTGCTGCCCATGTACTCACTCTACCTCGCTTCCGTTGGTACGGAACAGGAAGGCACAACTAGACCACCTGCCAAACGAACACGAGCTGCTGCCGCCAACTTATAAGACCGTATTCACCATGTCGAGTACTCACCATGTTACCTTATACCAAGCCCGTATATAATTTTTATAATCTCTAACCTGTCCAAAATACGTTCCTCCAACGACCGTACCTCAGCTTGAGCAACCCCCCCCAGTCGAGGCAGTCCGTAAGGAACATCACTTCTCTGCCGGCCAACATGTCCTCGCCGTCTATCCAGTCGTTTTTCACCAAGCCTATTGCGATGTTAGGTTGTGCAAACCCTGCCAAAGTGCCACACCCTGACGGGTTCACACAGGAAGAACTTGACGCACCCACTAGCCCTCTGGCTCGAGCCTGGAGCCCGACCGTCTCATACAGGGAAGTCTCGATTACTGACATCGTTCCCGGGGCGGGAAACATCTCTTTTTCGGGTCGCATCGTCAACTACAGGCCGTCAGAGGTGGACAAGAAAGGGGGCCAATACTCAAGGCCATGGCACTTTCTCGTCATCAAAGATGACACTGGCGTTCTTGGTGTGAGTCGTGCAGCAGCGCCACTCTTGTGACTTATGGTGCAGGTCGTTAACTGGTTCTGATCGCAGGTCAAGCTGACGCCGATTGGCATACCCGTCGCCACGCTCGTCCTTGGCAGGCTCGTTACTGTCTGGGCCACATACATTGGAGCCCCTTCGTCGACTCCCTGCACCATCCCTTACATGGCGAGCTGCACCAGTGTCAATCCTGAGCGGGGAACGAAGCAATTCATCCGGTTTTTTGAGGACACAGGCGAGAATGACATGCTTCATCGAGTCCCTTTAGGGTCCGGACTTTCAGATGAACCCCTGAGACCTCTTCCTGACCTGATGACGCTTGGTACTTACGCTAAGACTGGGCACGACGACGTCCGTGGCGTCATGCTTCTTGTTTGCGTCAGCAGCGTCGGTAGGCGCCGGCAGGTGAGAAAGGCTGGAAGAGACGAGTTCCTGGCACTCATAGAGGTAATTGTGTGCGACAATACCGGGAGTTGTGTCTTCACTTTATGGGAGGACAAAATCAACTCGACTCGAGCATGGACACCAAACAAGACTATTCTGCTCATCGTGAACCCCAAGCAGCAGGACCGTCGCGGTAGCGGTGGTCAGATCACTATCAGCATCGATAACGCTACGTTGGTTGACGTAGAGCCCCGAGGCCCCGATGCCGACTGGCTTCGAAGATGGGCAAAGAACCGACTGAAGAAAGAGGCTGTGTGTATAGCTTTCCCGGACAACGTGTGGAATGCGGAGGAAGCTGTCAATGGTCCCATCCGGGCCTTGTTCACTGTTGCTGAGGTGGACGAATTTGTCCGCAACGATCCTCATTTGAAGTTTACTGGCAAGCTCAGTCTCGTCATTGTGGATATGGAATTGACCAGTTTGTGGCAGAGAAAGATGCTCTGCTGTACTGAATGGTATGAACGGACGTCTTTCGCTCCTACCCCTTTTCAAGCCATAGTTCCCGATCAACTGACGGCTGGCCTAGTTGTGGAGTGCCCCTTTATGCCAACATTAGCATGGCTACGTGCCAACACTGCCGGTCCCCTCAGCATCTGTCTTTCAACCCTCGGATCATGGGCACGTTGGTGGATGAAACAGGCTGCATCGAGAAGGGCAAACTGATGTGGAGTCTTGATGCATGGAAACAGCTCCTTCTGCCCGCCGAGGATGCAACGAGTTACCAGCTATCCAACGACCTGCAATCAAGCGCTGCAAGTCCTGGGACTGTCGTCGGCGACCAACCCAACTGTACTAACATGGATCAAATCTGGGTCAAACTGACAGAAAAGGGGGCTCAGTCGGTCAGAAGCATTGAGGAACATTTGTTGTGTTCTCGTGTCACACTGACTTTTGGACGGGCGCCTGCGATCGAAAGACTGTGTATACTTGGAGTGGAATGGTAACAAGGGAATCCTGCTCACCCCGTTTGATGTTCACGGAAGAGATGCGAAGTGAAGGACCAGTGCTGCTACAGAGTATGATTTGATAGAGGAGGCGCTGTTTTCAACAATCCGAACTGGTGTAATGGCTAACATTTGACGCTCTCACCGTCAGGCTCAGGGTTCGATTCCCTGGTTCGGAATAATTTTTGCCTCTTACTCATAAGCGGCTTTCTTTTTACGTTTCGTGAACGAGTGAAGATGTACATCACATGTTCATCGGTATCGCAATATAACGAGATGTGTGATGAAGGAAAGCGAGAGAGGGCTGGAGAGCCAGTTGATCACAACTTGGCAAGGAATGCTACTGCCTGGCGGGGCAGCCAGTCAGCGACGGACCACCGGGCCCTTGATAGGGGCCGTCAGAAGCCTGTGCCGTTGTGCTTGGCTGGCTCCGCCACATCGAGCGAGGCCTGGGTACCTCCGCGTACGTACCGCGCCTGCGCCTGCGCCTGCGCCCGCACCCGTCACCACCTGGGCGCCCCTTCACTGTCTCTACCTACCCTTCACGTAAGGCGGTCCTGGCTCTCCCCTTTTCGGCATACTGATGGGTGCTGACGCTCCACTGTAGTCGTCGCCTGGCACTCGAGGACCCGCCCACTCCGCCAACCTGGACATTTCGAGACTCTGGGTGGACAGCTGCGACCCTGACATTGCATCTTCTTCGCGACCACGACGAAGCTTGTGATCGAAACGACGCTTCCTACCTCCCACGACAAAGCGCGCGTCGCGCAAAACCACCACCTTCATGATGCCCGAATCACCATCCGGTGTGGGTCAGGCCGACTCAATCCGGTCGCACGATTCGAATGACAAGAACTCGGACAAGAAGAAGAGTCGCCGTCCCGCAAGTACGTGGAAGCTCCGGACATGTGTCTGCGGTGGAATCGAGTGGCTGCCAGACCCAATCTAGGCAGGGCGACAGGATGCTGATATTTCTGCTTGGTATTTAGACACTGCGTTTCGGCAACAGCGGTTGAAGGCATGGCAGTGAGTCCACGCCTTTCCACCAAGACAACGAACATGGATGCGCTTCGACTTTCCACGACGATACTGACCAACAACACCCTCCAGGCCCATCCTGACACCCAAGACGGTGCTCCCCCTGTTTTTCACTATCGGCATCATTTTCGCTCCCATTGGAGGCCTGCTGCTCTACGCCAGCTCCGAGGTACGATCCTCTGCTTGAGAACCCCGCGGCTTCCGGTCGCAACCATTACTGACAAATGGGATACACAGGTCCAGGAAATCCGGATTGACTACTCAGACTGTCTCAACGATGCGCCGACGAGCGACTTTGATACCATGCCCTCCAAACACATCTCTAATGCCTTCAAGGGCGGTAACGATACCAAGGTTGCCCGATGGAGGAAATACGAGGACGTCAACGTGCAACCAGCCCGCGGTCAGAACTACTCAGGCACCATCTGTACCGTCGAATTCACCATTCCAGAGGACATGGGCACGCCTGTGCTCTTCTACTACCATCTCACCAATTTCTATCAGAACCATCGTCGATATGTCTCGTCCTTCTACGCCGATCAGCTGAAAGGCGATGCTCAGAGCTCCAACTCGATCAACGGCTCCGACTGTGGTAGCACCAAAGAGGTTGCCTTTGACCGGGACAATGGACTGCCCATCTATCCATGCGGCCTCATCGCCAACTCCATGTTCAACGACACGTTCACTTCGCCTCTGCAGCAGAATCCCCAAGGCTCCAATGACGACAGCGCCATCTACGAAATGAAGGACGACAGCAGGATTGCTTGGGCCTCCGACAGGGACCTCTATGGCAACACCAAGTACGACCCCTCGACCATCATGCCGCCTCCCAACTGGCGTAAAACATACCCCAAGTACACCGAACAGAACCCCCCTCCCGACTTGAGCGAGTGGCAGGCTTTCCAGGTCTGGATGCGTACAGCCGGTCTACCTGAGTTCAGCAAGCTGTATCAGCGCAATGACGACGAGCCCATGCGAGCCGGAACCTACCAGGTTAACATCACCGACAGTCAGTCATCTGTTCGAGCCAACGTTGGTATGGGACGTCAGAGAAACTAACATGTGGACGCAGATTTCCCAACCAAGGCATACAAGGGCTCCAAGTCCATCGTCATCTCCACTCGTACCGTCATGGGTGGCCGTAACAACTTCCTTGGAATCGCGTACGTGGTCGTCGGTGGCCTGTGTATTGTTCTCGGTGGTGTCTTCACCGTCACTCATCTCTTGAAGCCAAGGTACCCCCCCCCCCCTTCCCGGAAGCAACTGAGCTGTTCCAGTGTTGCCATGATATCTAACCCTCCCTTGCAGAAAGCTCGGAGACCATACATACCTCTCCTGGAACAATGCTCCCGCCTCTCAAAAGGGTCCTGCCACTGGCGGTGTGCTCGGCGGGTCCAGCGGCGCCATGGCCTCCGGCCGTGACCTTCGACCTGGCGAGGCCTAGGAGGCGCGCGAAGAGTCCCAGCGCAGACTCGTCTCCCTCGCCTCGAGCGAACCCTCACACAGCGTCGCCTCCCTGGCCAGCGCGGCCGCAGGTCGACGCCGCGCGTCGCCGCTGTCGTTCTTGCCGCGGACATGATGTTCTCGCAGCTGGTGCTGCAGCGGTGCTGCTACGGGGCCTTGGTTTCGTGTAGGACAGTAGGGACGAAATGACAGTGTATGGTGACTTCTTTCCTCCCGCCATCACCTGCAATTGATTTTTATTCGAGGGTCTACGTCTTCGGTTTGCCTTGCTGGTTCGGTTTCTACTTGCTTCTCTAGCTCTTTTTGCAGCTTGGCTGTTGGGCGGACTCGGCCTTCAATTCAGTTTTACCTTTTCTTCCATCTGGTTCGGTGGCCTGGCAGGACGGGGGGGCACGGGTGGCAGATTGGAAGATGCAGGTAGCCTTTTGCCCCTTGGACCTGCTTGGGCCTGGCGTTCGACGGCGTAGTGATGAATAGAAAGTTTTCCCCACTTCTTCTTTTTCCGCTTCAAGACGAATCAGTGATGCTGAGCTGAGGTTGCCGTGGGCATGCTATGTTACATGGACTATAAGTGTAAGTGCTAGGTCTCCCTCGAAGACAGCCCGTGATGATGTTTCCCGGCCTTCGATCAAACAGGTCGTATTACCCATGTGCTGGCTAGACGGCAGAATCGTCTCCATTACGTCGTAAAGGTGTTTGCATTTGCTCGTCCGAGTTCATGCGTGCCATTAAATGGTCAATCGATTCAGCTGACAATCAATCCCCTTGGTTTTCAAAGCAACCCCCCCCCCCCCCCGCTTCACCAGCGTATAGATGAATTCTCGAGACAGCTAGCTCCTCCCCCGCGAGCCCAAACACCAGCGAGGTTTCGTTCGATACAGAAAACGATTCCGCAAGAGGTACAAATTTTTTGATACAACGCGAGGTAAGGAAAACATCTTCCCGGTCTCTGTTTCTCCCTTCATTTCCATTTGCCAAGCAAGTCCATTTGCCAAGAAAGCACAATTCGCGGGGCCTATTAACACACCCGACCAGCCTCGTGCCGGCAACGGAGGACTATAATCCGGCGCAAACCCCTGCTCCACCGCGCCAGCAACGCACACGCACAGCCTCTCAGTGCTTGCGCTTCTTCTTGTTGCGACCCTCGTCTTCCTCGAGAGCGCTCTCGCGATCTCGCTTCTTGGCCTTGGCCTCGAGCTCATCCCAGTCCTCGCCCTCGTCCTCATCGCTCATGTCTGCGTCATCCTCGTCAGAGGCATTCGAGCCAAAGTCCGAGTCCTCTTCGCTCGATTCGGATGCTTCGTCAAGCTCGTCGTCGTCAATCTCAAAGTTGCTCTCCTCCGACTCCTCACCGCCGTCCTCGTCGTCAGACTCAGCCTGCAGGAAGGACCAGCCGCCGTCGATGAAGAACTGGTGCGTGTCGGCCGTGACGGTCTTCATAATGGTAGGCCAGTTCAGGTTGAGAGGACCTTCCGAGTAGGCAATGTCAGACGAGTCGAGGAACTCCTTGACGGCATCAAGGAAGTCGACAGGAATCGTGTTGACGTGGTATGGGGCCCTCGAGAAGTCCTTGAAGACGAAGACCATATCAAAGTTCTTCAAACCGAACTGCACACGTTCCAGGTGGCAGATCTCGATATCGTCGAGCGTGAGAACCATGAAGGGGGGTTCCACGACCTGGATCAGACAGTCTGTAGTGGGCTGAATGAAGACGTTGCTGCGGAACGGCACGCCGTGGAATCCAAGGTCTCGCAGCGGCATGTCGACCTCGATGCCTTCGTTTTTACCAGCTTCGGCAATCTTTTGCGCAAAGCCTTGGAAGAGGCGATCGAGCTCCGCTCTCCTACGGCGCTCCTCCTGTTCTTGCTCGAACTCGTCCTCATCGCCGTACCTGTACTTACGTTTCCTGTTGCCAGTCTCGTCGAACTGGATGTCGGTCGCTTCGCGGTAGAACTGAATGTCCTTCGTCTTCTTCTTGTTACTGTAGACGATGGGGTCTTTGAGATGGATGTGGATGATGACGATGAGCTCGTGCTGGCAGGGCTGGAAGAAGAGGTGTCGGACGTTGGAGAAGAGAACGTCCACCCTCTGGCTGCCATGGAGCGGCGAAGTGTAGCGGATACCGTTCTGGTGAATCTCGACCTTGCCGGGTACTCTCTTGCCCTCCATTGCTGGGCGTAGGAACACGTTGTCGAGAACAGCCGGGCGGCGGTCTGCATCATGTCAGCTTGGCTGTGTTCTTGTTCATGTTCAAGATTTCACTTACTCCTTATCTCGACGAGCTTGTCCTGCTCGACAACGTCCTCGAGCTCCTTCTTCTCCTGTTCCTTCTTGTTGCTGTCACGCTTCATGTTCGAGATCTGCGTGGCAATCTCTTGGTAGCGGTCGCCGTCCGTGGAACGGAATGTCAAGCTCCTGACGAAGTGGGCTGTGGCATCCTCGAATGGCTGATCGTCTTTGCGACCAACACCCTGGCCGGGCGACAGGAAATTGACACGCAAGAACGACCAGTCTCCTTCGTCACTCTTGCTTGCATTCTTGATCGTGTTGATGTGGAAAGGCACGGGCCGACCCATGACAGGGAGAATGATCGTGCCCATTTTCGCGTCGACGACGATGGACAAGTCCCTTACCTTGGGGGGAAGTTGGTTGTCCCGCTTGTATGACTCAAAACGCTTGAATTTCTTGATCTCGGTACCGTTTTGGCCAGCCGTAGACTCGGAGAACCGCGCCAGGCCTTCCTTCTGCTTCTTTGAAGCAAGCTCTTTCTGGTGCTCACGGCGCTTTTGGTCCGCGTCATCGTCAGGCTGAGCGTTGCGTTCTGATCGTAGTCTGGTCGAGGTGATATTCTTGGTAGCAACAGCACCAACGCGACCATCCTTCTTCTCTTTCTTGGGAGTCGGGGCCGTCTCCTCCTCGCCTTCAAAGAAGAAAGAGCACGCATCGGCCGTGGTGGGCGACTCGCCAGTGAACACGACAGCCTCGCTCGAGGTAACGCGGATTGTGTCCGTGATGACCATCGAGTACGTCTTGCTGTTCTTGTCCTGGGGCTGAGGATTCTCAATGTCGCTGAAACCGGTGGTGACAACTAGGGTCATGCCGTCCTTCAGAACTCTGGAGTTCTTGGCGCTCAGGAGGAGGGTCGGATCCCTGTTCTCCAGACCAATACCGTAGCCCACGTTTTTCAGGAAATGCTTCTCCAACTCGGGTTTCTTCGACTTGATCATAGCTAGAGCTTTGTTGTACACCTCCTTGGCCACAACGCCATCGCGGATCTCCTTGATGATCATGTTGTGAATGTTGAGCACAAGCTTGTAGGTGCTCTCCTGCGCCTTGTTGGGGTCCATGAGGTAAGTTCGGGCAATGGCGGAGCAGTAGGATTTATATCGCAGACCCATGTTGGCGATGATAATGCCCGGATGCAAGGGGTCGTCGTTGCTCTCGACACCCATCCTCAGATCAAACTTGCCACCGCTCTGGACCGTGGGTCCCATGACCCAGTCGAGTTGCGAGGTATCCATATCCGAAGGGAGCTTCGTGGAGTTGGGCAGCTCGAGATTCTGCCAGAACTTTGCGTCGTCCAGCTTCTTGTCTACGCGATCGGTGAGGGCACTGTGCTTGACCTTCTTGTCGCCATCCACGATATCGGTGATTTCGTCGAGGAAGTAAGGCGTCATGAGACCGACGCAAGCCTTGGAGGCGGTGCGCATGGCGCGTAACTCCGACTCGTCCTTGACGGAGAAGGCGATCTGGGAAAGCGCTGGGGAGATGTCGGTTTCCTCCACATCCTTGCAGTTTTCGGCGAAGACTTTCTTCCATTCGTCGACAAAGGGGCCCTTCGAGGTATCCTTCGCGATGATGCCAACTTTGTTCTGTATAGGCAAATGCTGTCAGTAGAGTACCGCCACGTAGCGAAGCCGATTCCTGGCTGTTGGCAACTTACGCCTGCTGCCTTTATAGTATCGGCGATCTTGATAAAGATCTTCTGGTTCTCGGCGGCATCCTTGCCTCGCACGAGGATCTCGAGAGGGAAACGACCGCCTTTGAGGGGCTCAAGGTGCTTGGCTGGAGATGTTAGCAAGTCGCGCAGTGCAGTTTAGGCAGCAGAGCGCAGGCTCACCCTTTTTCGCAGTCGTGACAATGTAAATCGTATCGACGGTCAGGAGCATCAAAGTCGTCGGAAACTCGTAGCCGAGGAGCCAAAACTGAACCAGACATTAGTCTCTTGATCGCGACGAAGATGTTGAAGGGGCTTTTGCGCGGTGGGTTGACTCACGTGCATGGCATTGTTCTTGTGCAGCTCAGGAACCTCCTCGACCTTGCCCATCATGACGAGCATGGATGTGGCGCCGTTGAAGATGCCATTGCTGCCGCGCTGGTCGTTCTTCCAGGCAGTCGCAAGATGGGTGATGCGCTCCTGGAATACCTTGGTGTCGATCTTGATGTCGGCCATGATTGCGGATGCCGGCAAAGCAAGTCGAAGGGACGTGGTGAAGGACGAGACCGACGGCCCTGGGTTTGGGGTTGGCGTGGGTGGGCGAGGACCAGGCTTGCTTGGTAGCCGTTGCACGTCTCCTGCTACCTGCCGTGTCCCCAGTGACGCGAAAAATAATGGGGTCGCGCGTTAATTGAGAGGTCACGTGATTGGAATTCTCACGGCGGATAGGCCTCTCGCACGGACAACGAATTGTCGATGACTCCCTGTGGTCCTAGTCCTCTGTGGTTTGCCCTTCAACGGAATCACTCTTCAGATGGTGTTGAACTTAGCAACCTCGGAGAGAAGAACAAATCAGTTTCGAGACTGGTGGGCACCGAGTATTCACTAACGTCCTTAGAGGCTCTCTTTGGTCGGTATCAATATTTCCCTTTCCCACCGACACACAAGGTAGGGCGAGGTAGCTTCTGTGCGGACTAGTCTGGTCGGCGAAGGTTCGGTATGGTTGGTTTGGAACCCATCCTGCCTGCTCCAGTAGGTATCTCGGGAGTGCTCTCTCTTCCTGATTGAGCACGACTGGCATCTTCGTGTATTCTCGGAGACCCGCAACAGTGTTTTTGAGACTCGCAACTATGCCACTCAGGTCACTCACTACCTCTGCATGAACATCAGGACCATCGGAACGCCGGAATAGCACTTACCCGGCTTCGGGCGCCGATTCTCGGGAAGTGGACCGGTCGGACTGCCGTGGGCATTTCCCGAGGCTTCGGCTTTCACTACATATTTACCAGCTCTAGATGTCTCTTCATGCACAGCTCCTGCTTCTCCTAGTCAATACAAGTCTCTCTCTCTCTCTCACACATGCGCAACGACTTGTGAAACGCTTTCAGCGAACCCCTCACTCCCAAGCAAACCCCACAGTCCACCATCATCGCCTGCACAAACGCGACAATGCGCCTGCCCTACACCCCCAACCCGCCACAGCCAGCGGACCCCGCCGAAGAGGCCATCGTCTCGCGCATCACCGCGCGTCGCGCACCGCGCCCCCTGCAGCCCCTCGACCTGACCCTCCTCCACAGCCCCCCCGTCGCCGACGGCTGGAACTCCTTCCTCGGCGCCGTGCGCACGCAGACCATCGTCCCCGCCGACCTGCGCGAGCTCGCCATTTCCCGCGTCGCCGTCGTCAACCGCGCCTGGTACGAGTGGATGCACCACGCACCCCTCGCCGTCGGCGCCGGCGTCCCGCAGGCCGCCATGGACTGGCTCAAGGGCCAGGCCGGTGACCTGGCCGAGCCGAGCGTCGCGGCTGAGGGGACGGGGCTGTTCGGGGACTGGCAGTGGGCCGCGCTGCTGCTGGCGGATGAAATGACGAGGAACGTGCAGGTCTCTGACGAAACATTTGCCAAGGTCAAGGGCTTGTTCGGTGAGAGGGAGGTTGTCGAGCTTGTGGCAACGGTAGGTCCTCTTCTGCCAGTCATGCGAGGAGAGTCCCGGGAAACGGCTGTTAACGATACTGATAGGTTGCTTGCTACAACTGTGTGAGCAGATTCCTTGTGGCGCTGGATGGTACGTGTCAAGGCGGTTTTCTATTGTCTGGCGCAACTTGCTAACTACCTGGGATACACAGTCGGCGAAAGAAATGCCACAGGCCCTGATGCGCCGGCTGCTCACTGAAAGGAGTTTTCTGGATGACCACATAAGACAGAAACACCGCACGAAAGAAAAGCACAAGCAGCCATAAGGGGAAAGGTGTAGTGAAGTGGACGACAGGGCCGAATCGAAAGGGACCAATGCTGTGGAAAAGGGGGTATCTACTCTAAGTGAAGTGCTGTGTCAAGATTGTAAAGGAAACTCGTCAGGTGTCTCGCCATTCCTCGTGTCGCACCTGGTGTGCTCTCATATCCCATATACGTGTTAGGGTGTCGACTGGCGGCCGTGAGCTCCGCGCTACCTCCGTCGCTCGTTTTCAGTATCATCAGTACGTCGTGAGTGGGCTGGTGTGCCGCTGATCCTCATGTCTCTACATGTGGTCGTCTCGTTGAGTAGTTGAACGTTACACTACCAGTCACGGCAGCTTGCTTAATGCGAGTTCCTGCTCAATCGATCTCTCGATAAAAGCGTGTCTCGCCTGCAGCTTTGGGCTCCTCTGCAGTTCCTCAACGACCCCAGCCCACCCGGTACGGTGGCTAGGTCTTGCGTTGGATGAATGCCCGATGGCCTGCGTTGTCAGCCTCCGCAGCGGTGGCTTTCTCTTAATCTCCTCATTTAGTGCTCGTGAGAGGAGCATCGCCGGCGTTGGGGCCATGGTGGGCGCTGGGGGAATCTTGGAGGCTGCGACGGCAGCAGTGCCAAGTTTCTCCGACTCCCTCTCCTGCCTCCTCTCCTTCTCCTTTGGCGACGACTGCTTCTCAACTGCTGGAGGCGCCCGCTCCGCTACGATGCCGAGGTAGACTACAAGAAAGCGCATGCGTAGCATGTCCAGCCTGCGATTGCGCTCCTCGAGATCGCGTCGCGTGACAGCCCACAGGACCCTCGCGCTCGCTTTCAGTGTCGTAGTTGTGTTGAAGCTGGCCAGCTCGTCATTTTCGTCCCCATCGAAACCGCTCGTTACGAACAGCGCGCACAAGGCCTCGCGCAGATCATCACCGGCTCGCTGGATGTCGCGCAAGAGGCGGACGAGTCGGATTTTATCCTCAAGGCGGGGCACCTTGGTCAGGTCGCGGTCGTAGCTTTCGTTCTCTTCTATGGAGGCATCGAGGGCGTCAAGGAGGAGGGCAGCTTCGCGGGGTGCTGCCAGGTAGGCGGCAGCATGCGAGGCCAGGAGCTGGCCGAGGACGACGAGAGACAGACAAAGGGCGGTCAACGCGAGTATGATGGTCCACTGCTGGGGGGCCGCCGCGAGTTCTTCCATGTTGAGAGCATAGAGACGGTATTCAAGAGAGCGATCCGGGTGAGTCGGGGAGCAGTGGGAGCAATTGGGACGGTCAGGACAGATGTGGCAGTACGAGGGAGATGGCAGAGAATGTGGTGTGAAAGAGGCGACAACGATGACGAGGAAGTGCGCGACCGCGAGGTTCGAGGTGGTGTGCGACCCTCGGTTGCGAGTGGGAGGATGGCGAGGGTTGAACGACCTGCTGCCGCCCCATCAGGGCCAGTCCGTCCATCCCTCACAGCATTCACAGGCGCCACCCCTCCCCCCTTTCGCCCCGCGCCGGCGCAAGGATGCTTGTCTGGCCTGTCTGGCCTGCGTTAGCGAGTGCTTCTCCGTTCATGCTGCTGCAACGGCGGTCAAACCGTGGGCTCAGTGTCCCCCTGTAGATGCAGGAGAAGCGCTGCTGGCTACTGGGCCAAAGAGCACAGGCGGGAGGCTGGGAAGCAAGCGTGCGGGGTCTGTAGTGGGCCAGGACCGCAACATGTTTGGGTTGAGGGTAAGGTAGGGCGCGAGAGGGTTGTCGAGAGTCGTACATGTATATCATGTGCTAGACCAAGCGACCCCGCCGGCTCGATTTGGATGGGATTCCATCGTTCGGTACGCAAGTGGAGAGCAGGCGGTTGGTGTTCTCTGAAGGTTGAGGCCTGCCTCTGACAGGAGTGATGAGGGCTGATGGCAGGATGGCAGGTCTTGCAGATGGGGGAGAACTTCCAGCGCACCGGGAGACCAGGCGAGCGCCGTGTTTCCCAACAAAGCGTCCACTGGGCGTTGGCCACATGGGTTGGGGGGCAATGCAGCCTGCAGGCCGACATGCGCCCGACGACGCAGTGGGTTGGCTGCCCTTGCTTCGCGGCGTACGCAGGGCATTTAGTGATCTAGACCCGTCTCACATGCGCCATGCTGAAGCCCCACTGAGCAAGCTTCTCCTGCCTGGCTGTACCAATTGTCACATTGAGTAACACTTTGCCCAATAAGACCCTACATCAACGATCCATGGTAGCAACACACAACTCCCAGAACAGAGTCAAGCAATGGTATAGGGAAACTGAGGTGTTCATATTATAATACTTTAACTGCCGCCTCCATGCCTTGTCCGGGGTATCAAGTGTCTGTCGACTCTAGGTGTTTCGCTCGCGTCCATTCTCCTCGTCACCACGCGCCTGCCTCTGTGTCAACCCTTACTGCTTTGCCTCGGCTTGCTTCTGGATGTCATGCTCGGCTCCGCGCTGCTGCGTCTTGCCCGTGTCGTGAAGGTCCTGGTAGTGCTGCTGGCCGCTCTTGTCACCCGTCAGGCCAGCGACGGCACCTCCAATAGAACCCTGGAGACGGTTGCCGACGCCAGACGCAAAGTCATTGACCTGGCCCTTCGCCTCCTGCTGCTGGCCCTCGAGGTTCTGCTGACGGCCTTGTTCCTTGAGGTTCTGGGAGCCAACGAGACCGCCGACGGCCTCCTTAGCCGAGCCCACTGTCTGGTTCCAGGAGCCGGCAGCGCGATCGGGGTCGTCCTTGGTGACGGCGCCGGAAGAGGACGCGCTGAAGCCAGGGAGCTTGGCTGTGGCGTGCGAGGCGCTGTACTCGGCGTCGGCCTTCTGCTGCTTGGCCTCGCCCTTGTTCTGGTCGGCTGTGTTGCCCGTGATGCTACCGACAAGGTTCTGGGCCGCGCCAGTAGCCGAGTCGAGGTAGGACTTGAGGGTAGACGTGTTGTCGTTGGCAGACATATTTGCTTGTGGTGACTTTCGGTAGCTATAGAAAGTTGTCGTTCAAGGTGGTGGGTGTGAAGAAGATGTTTTCTTTGTGGATATTGTGTGGATGATGATGAAGTAGAATAATCCTCTGTTTTGGCGGGAAAACATCATCTTTAAATACTAAGGCCGCGGCTGCCGTTTAGGCCAACGCGCCAGCAAGTATATCGCGTCTTCCAAGCCTCACGATGCAGTTTCCGTCTGTCTTTCCGTATGATTCGGCCTGTGATGTCATTCGGGGTAGCCCTGCACCTCCCCTATCCATCAAGAAGGAGGGCGTCGGCCTAGGACCGGGTTTGAGGTGGAGGGTGGAAGGAGGGGCTGTAGTTCTATGATGTCATGTTCTAGCTCTATCCTTGTCCAGCAACGACCACACGACCCCCTCACTCCTGCCCTACGTGTCGTAGACAAGCACGTTCCCGGAACCCTCCAATGAACTACGCGATTATGGAGCTGTGTTACACAATGGCGAAACCCGACTGTCTTCGACGCAATCGGCCCTTGTGATCTTTCGGCCTTGCTCCTGTTCTGCTGCCACACGTCCTGAAGCATTGATGGGAACGTGTCCTTTCTGGTTAGGACCATGCATGTGAGATGCCGCATGTCTCTGCTGGGAAGCAGCATGTTCCCAACCAAGCCCCAGGGCTGCCGTCAAGGCTGCGCAGACCCTTCCCAAGCTACTCGCGTAGCAGGCGTACCGCTTGAAGGGTATCGACTGCGAATTCTGCCACCCTGCACCAGGTACCGACTGCTTAGCCCCGACCGGGCCAATTCCGACCCTTGGCTGAGGACAATAAATCCACGAGGTAAACGGGACACGCAGACCATTCAGGCAAGCACGCAATGCTTCGACAGTTGTGTTTCAGATGTGTTCATTGTTTGGTGTGAATTCTTCAGCCAACGTCATCAGGCTTCCCACTAGTCGTGATACACCAACTGGCTTCCTCTTGTGCCATGTGAGCCCATATTTGTCCCTATCGACAGTAAGACTCTGATACAGGGAGCACTTTATGCCCGCTCCTCTCCCCACCTCCTAAGCCAAACTCCGAGATTCCCGTAAAGAAAGAATGACTGGCCTAGTGACAGGCCTCGCTCAATCATCCTCGCCTGGTGGTATTACAGAAACTAAAATCCACAAGGGTGGCCCCTAAACGAGGAACCCGCTAGTTAAAACCCATTGCCTCTCGTACAGCCAAGACGATCCCATAGGTCTTGCAAATTAGTGCTGGCTCCATTGGATCGTGCTGAGGTCGACACCGTCCTGGACAAGCTCCCACAGGGGACTCAGCTCACGGAGGAAATCAACACGCTCCTGGACGGCCTTCAGAACGTAGTCAATCTCCGCTTCGGTGGTGAAGCGGCCAATGCCGAATCGGATACTGCTGTGCGCGCTCTCATCGCTGTTACCCAGGGCTCGCAAAACGTAGCTAGGCTCCAGAGAAGCCGAGGTGCAAGCACTGCCGGACGACAGAGCAATATCCTTCAGCGCCATGAGCAGCGACTCGCCCTCGACGTAGGCGAAAGACACGTTGACACAGCCGGGATAGAAATGGTTCGGGTCGCCGTTCTGGTTCGTGTGCTCCATAGAGAGGAGACCGCCGAGAAGCCGATCGGACAGTGCCTTGATGCGCTTCGAATCGTACTATTGGGAGTCAGTCCAAAATTCCACAAAACCTAAACGTGATTGATGGAAATGGGTGCGAATGTATAATATTCAGACGGAGTGCTGTGTCACAACAATTGTCCTTGTCACGGGACTTCAGAAAGCCATGCATGTATAAGAGCAACATCATCATAATGGGGCAACGCGAAGATCGGCAAGAGAGAGAGAAATGTGACACGTACCTCCATCTCCTCGTACGCGATGCGGCACGCCTCACCAAAGCCGACGATCAGCGGAGGTGCGAGCGTGCCGCTGCGTAGGCCACGTTCTTGACCACCTCCGGTAATGATGGGATCCAATCTGACACGAGGGCGTCGCCTAACATAGCAGGCACCAATTCCCTTGGGGCCATAGATCTTGTGGGACGAGATCGACATGAGATCGATGTTCATCGCGTTCACGTCAAGAGGCATCTTCCCAACGGCCTGTGCGGCATCCGTGTGGAAAAAGACCTTGTTCTTGCGGCACAGCTTGCCAATTTCCTCCATGGGCTGGATCACACCAATCTCGTTGTTCACGGTCATGATGCTCACAAGGGCAGTCTCAGGCTTGATAGCGGCCTCGAGCTGAGCCAAATCGATAAGGCCGGAGTTGTTTACGGGCAGGTAGGTGATCTCGAAACCTTCGTCCTGGAGATGCCGACAGCTGTCGAGCACGCACTTGTGTTCGGTCTGGGTAGTGATGATGTGCTTCTTCTTGCCGGACCTCCCGAAGAATCGCGCAACACCTTTGATGCTCATGTTATTGCTCTCGGTGGCACCACTCGTGAAGATGATTTCCTTGGAGTCGGCACCAATGAGCTTCGCAATATGCTCGCGAGCTTCCTCGACAGCGGACTCGCTCTCCCATCCGTAAGCGTGCGTCTTGGAATGGGGGTTGCCGTATATGCCGGTGTAGAAAGGAAGCATGGCGTCAAGCACTCGCGGATCAACGGGCGTAGTCGCTTGCATGTCGAGGTAGATGGGCCTCTGACCTTCCTCCATGGTCGTGACCTGCTTGAGCACTTCGGCCATTGGGCTCACCACAACGTTGGAGCCATCAGGAGACTGGTCGATGAAATCCTTCTTGTCCAGCTTGATAGCGGTATCGACATTGACCTGTGCGTGGTCCTGCCTCGTCTCGGAAACGTTCCGTCGCTGCGTGAACTGCTGGATGGGTCCCGCAATGATCCTCGGCGTGCTGGGTAGCCTCCTAAGGGGAGAGGCGGCTGTAGTACGGCAGAGGCGGCCTGCCTGCCTCAGCGCTGATGTTGAGATGCTAGCCATGATGATGTGATGGTGATGGCATGCGGAGGGAATAGAAGGCCAGAAGGAGGAGGGGAGGAAGGTTTTGTGAGGGAGATGAGGAGGCCCGAGAAAAAAAGATATGTCAGCACTTCTGACTGGTGATGCGGCAAATCGGAGGCGAATGACCCACCCTAGCTTTCTCCATCATTTCATGCTCTTATCCAATCGCCCTGGTATTTTTGCAATTCGCGAGTTTTGCCCGTCGGCGTCCGTCTCTTGCTCGGGGATAAATCTGCTGCTCAGTGATTGGCTGCCACTCTGGCTGCCTGGTGCCGCTTGGCAAAGCCCGTCTGATGACGTTATGATTTGAGAACGCATCCGAGTGAGACGGATAGGCTTAGAAGCTTTGGTGAGGGGGGCGTCACGAAAATGCGCTGCAGGGCCTCCTTTTCTGAAAACATGCTCGATAAAACGCCGTTTCTGCAGTTGTCTTTGTGTTATAGTCTCGTCAAACTGCAGAAGTAGGAGGTCCAAATTGGCTTTGTGTAATCCACGTCTTCCGTCGTACCAGACTCCCACACTGGAGGACCTAGCGAGGCAGTAAGGTAACCTTGGGGTGTCAACGCGTCCCCCAATGCGTCTGTGATCGCACGCGCCACAAGCCAAGCCGGCCGCGGGACAGTTGGAGCTGATTGACTGTGGACACAGCCACGACTCAGTCGTCACCGGCACAGCACCAGCGTCACCAAATCAGGCCTAAGCCAGAGGCCGCCTTGCGCCTGCACCCATCCAAGTGTTCCCATTCCTCATAAGGTTGGAATGCCCTCACTACAGCTGTGCATCCTACCAAACCCTCGTACAAACACCCCTTAGAACAACAGCCCTACCGACCGCCCTCCCCCTCCTCCTACCGAGCATTCCGGCCCATCCGTTCGAACCCCAGCATGAGCTTTCGCGGCTTCCAGAAGAGCGTCGTTAGGGTACCATCTCTCCCCCACAAATTGAGGGGCACCAGCCCAGTCCCATGTCCCAGCTTGTCGTGTCGCGACAGGTTGTGTGTCGGTGATCTACGTACGAGCATTTTGACTGACCTGATATCTCGTCTTTGTCCTCCAGGCGCCGCAAACGTTCAAGTCTCGCTTCAATATTGGCGAGCAGACCAAAGACGCCGTCTACAGCGATTCAGAGCGCAGGTTCCAGGAGCTCGAGACCGAGACCAAGAAGCTTCATGATGAATCAAAGAAGTACTTCGACGCCATCAACGGCATGCTCAACCACCAGATCGAATTCAGCAAGGCCATGACCGAGGTCTACAAACCCATTTCTGGTCGCATGTCCGACCCAGACACCCTGAAGATTGAGGGCAATCCCGAGGGCATCCGCGCTTGCGAAGAGTATGAGCTCGTCGTCAAGGACTTGCAGGACACCCTGGCGCCGGAGCTTGATATGATCGAGACGAGAGTTATCCGCCCTGCGACCGAGTTGCTCGACGTTATCAAGGCCATTCGCAAGACTGCAACCAAGCGCGACCACAAGAGGATCGACTACGACCGGCATCGCACCACCCTCAAGAAGTTGCAAGATAAAAAGGAACGCAGTGCCAAGGACGAGAAGGCTTTGTGGAAAGCCGAAGGCGACACCGAGACAGCCACCCAGGAGTTCAACTACTTCAATGATTTGCTCAAGGAGGAGCTGCCGAAGCTCTTTGCACTCGAGCGCGAGTTCATCCAGCCACTATTTCAGTCCTTTTACTACATGCAGCTCAATGTCTTCTATACTCTGCACGAGAAGATGCAAAGCTGCGACATTGGCTACTTCGACCTCACCCGGGACATTGAGGAGGCCTTTCACGCCAAGCGAGGCGACATCCAGGAGCAAGCCGAAGCCCTCTCTATTGTCAAATTTAAGACCACTGGACAGAGGCGGCCGCCGAAATACGGCCGTCCCGCATTGGAGGGCCCTCGAACTCAGGGCCTCCTGACTGCTGGCCCTTCGAGCGCCAGCCCCTCTGTCCCGACCACCTCGAAGCCCCTCGCGCGCATAGGCTACACCCCTACCGGCCAAGCATCAGCAGACAGCGAGTCGCAACCACCTCCGCCGTACTCTCCCGGCAGCCCCGGCCTGCAGGCCATGGCGGCAGCGAAGGGCAAGCCTCCTCCACCGAAGCCGAAGCCGAGCCGTTTCAGTGCCGTGCCTGTAGCAGAGACCGTGACGGCTTTGTACGACTACGATGCTCAGGCCGAGGGTGACTTGAGCTTCCGAACCGGCGATGTCATAGAGATCATCACCCGTACGAAGAACGAAAATGAGTGGTGGACCGGCAAGTTGAATGGAAAGCAAGGCCAATTCCCAGGTTTGTCACCCATGATGTCCTCTCCTGCTCTGTTGATTCACTCAATGCTGATTTATTGCGCTACAGGCAATTACGTGCAGACAAGCAGCTAATACGACATTGTCGCGAGGCCACACGAACATGATTCAGGAGCAGACACATACTTCGAGCTTGAGGATAAAATCAAAAAAAGGCCTCATCCGTGTCCCTCTTACAGAGGAAGACGGGGTATAGTACGAGAGCTGAAGGAACTTGAGGAATGGATTGCATATGGAACACTTGGCGCATGCAGAAAGGGGGACAGCGGATTCGACCCGGCCGGGGTGGGAGCGAGGCCGGGCTTGCATTGTTGCTCCGAAGACTCAGGGATAAAACGAAAGACTTTATGACGGGTAGGCTGTCTTGTTTGTTTCGGATTCCATCTTCTTGTATTGAGGGAGAGCAGGCGTTGCTTAGTTGAACCGGAGTAGAGACGGGGGTGTGGTGTTGTGGGATGTGGCCTCGGCGCCTGCCCGACACATATAATCTAGTGGATTTATATTCTTCGCCACAACATGCATGGACATGGCGTCAGCTGTGAATGTATGACTTTTTTGAAGGGTGGTCATTGAAATGGCAATGGGAATTAATTTGTTATTGCACCCGGAGGTACACGAGCCGATAGCCGTGAATGCGCCTCCATTATCAATGGCGTGCCAGCCTTCTCTGGGAAGGGGGGGGGGGGGGGGGGGGGGGATGGTTCAATGTTCCCTTGGCTTTGAATAGCCCCCTTCATGTCACGAGTGCAATATGTATGCCGCTGCCCAATCCATGTATAACTAACCAACCTTATCAGGACAGCGCCCAGCAGCCTGTGGCTCCAATGTGTCAACTTCGCTAAGCGTCTATGGCGTAACGCAAGGCACAAAAGCTTAGATACTTTTCCACATTTATTATTCGCTACTTTATGGCGCTGGGGCCTAAACAACGCTCTGCTTCTGTGCGCGACGCTACGCTTGTTCGTCTGCTACCTACGTCTGTGTCTGTAGCCAGGGTCGAAGGATAGTAGAACAACTGGTCTCAGTACATTAGGACCTCGTTCCCCCAAGGCGTATACGATGGATCTTTCGTCCGCTGTTCCTTGTACCTGAAAACGTCCAGGGTAACGTGGGTTGAGGTCAAAATATGGGTTAGACTCCGTGTAAAGATTTGGTGCGGATCCAACGGGCCAAAATGCGGCCGGCATGGTGTCACTGCTCTTCGCAACAGATCGCAGTCGGAGCCAGGGCTGAGTTGGAGAGCTCATCTCGCCGCCTGAAACAGTGGCATAACATGGAAAGACTTCCAGAAAGCTCTCGCTGTCTTGATGGTATGAGCGGATGTATGGTCTATATGAACTGTATCGCTGAGATGTTTCGAGTGTGTGAACGAGTGAGGCTTCGCGGAAGCCTGAGGCCTGCTCCTTGGAAGCAACTGGTGAATTGCTGCAGGCAGCAGGGGCAAAGTCGAGAAAGGTCTTATAGGATGTGGTCACTGGAGGCCAAACAGCCTCTGGGCTTTCTGTCCGGACCTCGACAATGACCAACCTGCCGGTGTGCGTGTCGGTCTCCAGACTAATGGTCGTGTCATGAATCGGCCCCTCCTTGTGATTTCTGCGCCAGAGGCCTTCCTTGGGGGCAACCTCGAGTTTCTCGGGCGCTGCCAGGGGGAACCTAAATGCATAGTAATGCGACATCCAGTCTGCATCGCGAGCTTGGTTGGCATTCGAGGTCGCCGAGTTGGAAACGACATACATGTAGTTTCCAATGATTTCCACACACACAGTCTTACCCAGCTCATCCCCTACCGGTGCTGGCGTCCGAACTTGTGGCAGTTTCCAGGTGCGGTTGGATATGTCGAACAACTGCAGAACAAGACAACCGCGGCCATCGGCGACGTTTTCCCATTCTCCTACCCATACTTGCTCGCTGGTGTTGCGGACAAAGCAAAAGTCTTCTTGCCCAGGACGTGCCAACGGATATGTCAAAACCAGTTGATTGCTGGCAGGACGAAACACGAAGAGTGTGCTGTGTGTGTTCTGCTTCGTTCGGGACCTGCTGGCGGGTGCAAAGATGCACGACACGAGACCGTCTGCATAATAGATTGGCTCAACTAGGGGCTTCAAGTTCCAATCGCTTTCCACAAATCTAATGAGTTTCAGATGGATGACTATCTCAGCTGACGAAGGTTGGCGCAAGTCGAGAAGCCGCAAAGTATTCGGCATCAGCGTTCCTCGGTCATGTGACGTATAGCAAAGCATGCCATTGGAGTAGACAAAGGTATCTGCCATGGCAACAACGCCGGCAAAGAAGGGATTGGCGGTCGTCACGGCCAATTGCCGCTTGACGAAGCGTTGCAAGCCGTGAGCGTATGAGCCATGGAAAATCCGTGAGGAGGCATCTTTGAGTTCCAATGAGAACGGAGCATATATCTAGGAAAATCGGTCAGCCGGACACCCGTCGATTACTTGCGCGGGTCTACTTGCCTGGAGTGTCTTTTTGGCGATATGATCGTTATGCATAAGAGCCCAGTGCAGACGATGACAAGTCAGACTCGTACTGTGTATGTCCCGGGGTGCAAGTTCGGCGGCTATGATGGCCAGAACCTCGAAAGGAAGCCGATCAAGCCTTGCCATCGAAGCACTTTGTTGTTAACGTCACAGAGTCGGGGTTTGATAAGAGGGCGCGTATGCTGGCGGATGTGAACGGTGAGGATATCCAATGAATGCAGTGAAAGATGCTCTATATCATTCCTGGAACGGTTGATACCGGTACATGTCTTGTCGTCGGGGACTCGCAGATGGGAGTTCGATGAAGGATAGAATGATGCAGGCCCGCGCGTTCAAAAGCTTGCGGCGAGGGAGCGACCACAATGCAAAGTGCCCTCGTTATACTCTGTGGGCAAGAGGAACCCACGGCCTAATTACTAGAGTAGTTATCCAAGGCACCGTCGCCCAAGTCATGTTCCACCCATCCATTTCCTGAGCATCGCCCCATTGATTTATACGGGATGCGGCTCTGCTCAACCATCGCAGGGAAAGCTTGCTTTTGATGGCAAGTGAACAACGCATGGAGCCTAGATGCGATGTGATACTACCTGCAGGCCGTCAGCCACCGATCCAATGGGAATCAGTCCGTAAGGGCCTGCCGGCGAGGACATCGTAATGCGCATGTATTGCATCCTGGCAGGGATGCAGGTACAAGGAATCTCCGGATAGACTTACCCCGAGCAAGTTTGTGACCACGATTACAGGAGTGTCAGGTTGTTTAGGTAGGGAAAGCGGGGTCATGGATAGGAGTAGGAAGGGTCCAATGAAGGGAATCTGTGAAGAAAGGTGAGCCTCACAACACGTCGTTTGGGGCCCTAGCTGTTCCGGATGCATCACCTGTCCCACCTCTATCAATACAGGTTCAAGGTTCTGCCATTCATATTCCTCTCCACAGCAACACCCTTGTCTGTTGCCTCTTCAAGCCACTGGTGATGGAGGGGGGAACCAAATAACCAGTCGGATTGACAATCGCGACAGAGAACGCCCGCATTTTGCAAGCCACAGCCTGCTCCGGAATGACTTGTTCGGGCTGTGTTGAGGCTCAAGAAACATGCGTCACCACACCGGTCAGACAGAGGGCGTGCCTTGAGCATCTTTAAGATGCGGGGTCGATTTGGGGGCCAAAAACTAAACCGGCGTGTTCTGTGTCCTTGGGACCATCAAAGGTTTCCAGCTACTTCTTGTATCATGTGTCAGACACTCACCGTTTCGTAGACGAGGAGGAAGGCAATCATGCTTGATCTGAAGGGTGTGCCGTATTGAATGTGTTGGCTAGGCTAGGTGCCTTTACGCTGCCACGGATGCTGAGATGGTTCCCCACTGTTCAATGCCGTTCGTGCCCAATCATGACCTCCGCAAAAGGGTTTACTTGCGGCGCGAATCGTCATCAGCCAGCGACGCTCGAGAATCAGTACAGCCTGGCGCCTCCCTCCTGCAACACCATACCTGGCTCAAGTTGACTCTTGGTGCTGTCTCAGCAAGCTGCCACGTAGACCAAGAGACGAGAGATATCTCAAGACGAACCAGAAGACTACCGACGTCAGCCGACCATGACGACACATGATAGCAAGGATATTGACTTATGGTCAGAATGCACGACCGATACGATCCTCGAAGTAAGAACGAGTAAGATGAAAAAGATGCCCGGGCTCCAGATTGAAAGCGGAATCGACAAGTGTATGTGCACCAACTCTGTGCGTGTGACCCGCTTAGGTCTCGACGGTGATGAGCATGATCCAACCTTTCATGGTGGGGTGGACAAGGCTGTCCATGGGTGTAAGTGGCCTGGCATCTTGCAGGCCGTCACCTTGGAGGAGGTGAGACAGATGCTGACTTGACCCTACAGACTGCAGTTCCCACTATCTGGGTTGGCAGCGTGAGTACCCGTCCGCTGCAGGTCGTTTCCGCCCCGGGGGCTTCGGCGAGAACCTCGTCACGCGCCACTTGAATGAGCGCAATGTCTGCATCGGAGACAAATGGGCCGTGGGCGACTCTGTCGTACTGCAAGTCAGCCTCCCACGCCAGCCATGCTTCAAGCTGAACCATCGCTTCCAACTCAAAAACTTTGCGCCTAAGACGTTTCGATCGAGTCGTACGGGCTGGTACTATCGCGTCTTGGAAGAAGGAAACGTCAAGGCAGGAGACAGCATGACCCTGATCGAACGTCAGTGGCCCAAGTGGACTATTGAACGAGTGCAAGAGTTTCTACATCGGAACCAGGAGGACCTAGCGGCGAATGAGGAGCTGGCGGCTATCGAAGCAATGGGCGAGGAGAGCCGCGGCGCCTTCCAGAAGAGAGTGGCGAAGGCCAAGGCGAGAGCGAAGCGCAAGGGGGAGACGGAACAGAGGGAAGTCTGGCGCGAGTACTACATCGCTGAAAAGACGACGCAAACACCCCGCATCGCGTCCTTTCTTCTCAAGCTTCGCGTGCCCATTGACGAGGAGGAGCAACGGATCCCCGACGGCGCCCATGTGAAGCTCCTCCTCCCCAATGACCTGCAACGGTCTTATTCTGTCGTTTCGGGAAATCATCAGTGCTTTGAGCTAGGTGTTGCATTGGAGGACGCCTCGCGAGGCGGATCGAAGTGGCTTCACAGCGTCATGCCCGGACCGGACGCTGTGGTACAGGTGGGCAGATTCACAAACGACGTTCCCAACGCTAACGCGGCGAGCAACCACGTCTTTGTCGCTGGCGGAGTCGGTATTACAGCGTTTCTGGCTTCGCTTGAGGCATACCACAGCATCAATTACAACATTGAGCTGCATTACGCTGTGCGTTCGGCGGATGATGTGCCTTTTCGACAGCGCATTGAAAAGTTAGGCGCCAGTGTCAAAGTCTACGACAAGTCCAAAGGCCAACGCCTGGACATTCGCGAGATTGTGCGAACGCTCAAGTGGAACAGCCAGCTGTACTTCTGTGGTCCGACTCGCATGATTGAGTCTGGTCGCAGAGCCGTCCAAGAATTTGGCGTGGATGAGAACGAGGTTCACTACGAAGCTTTCTCAGCAGACACCACAGGCGACCCATTTGATGCGGAAGTATCCAATCGAGCTGGTAAGATCGTACATGTGACTCAGGAAGAAACGCTTCTAGAGGTCCTGAAGAGAGAGTTTGGAGGTGACCAAGTGGAGAGCAGCTGCGAAGTGGGGAATTGCGGAACTTGCAAGATCAATCTGAAGGATGGAACAGTCGAGCACAGAGGCACGGCATTGACGAAGGAGCAAAAGGTAAGTTCCATGCTGAGCTGTGTCAGCCGTGGAATCGGGAGGATCGTGGTTGAGGTGTAAGGGACCTTACCTCAGAGTGAAGCCATCATGGAGTGGAGCAAGTTGGGTCTTATCCACACATTGCTAGTGGTTGACTGGGGTAAGGCACGGGAACTTTGACCCCACCAGTAGCCTTATCTTTTACTTCCTCATTTTTTTGGAGCTGCCTTTTGTTCCATTGCCCAGTTCAGCCATTCTCGACTGATCCAGCGACACAGCTTCTCGCTCTTCCTGTCACATCTAAGACCGTCAACGACACCACATCGCGTACGCCCGATAGCCAACAGGGAAAACATAGTAATATGGCGACCGAAGAAACAGAGGATGGCTTCACCGTCTTCCCAATCCAAATGCCGGCGGTGCCCTCGTGCCCCATTACCGCCATCCACGAAATTCGACTTCGACGAAACACGCCCAAGATCCCAACTGCCATAGATGGTCGGAGTCTCTTCCTGAAGAATATTCCAGTAGATGCGTCAGAAGCACACTTTCGCGCTGTCTTCAGTCACCTCGTCGGCCCCGGCCGCTTCGAGAGCATCGCCTTTGAAGGCGAGCGCAGGAGGCGGCTCGAGCTCAATCCCGCCTCGGCTGCTAAGATATCTGCGCTCGTCAAAAAGAGGAAGCGCGATGAACAGGAGCTCGAGGAGCACGCGCGCGAGGAGGAGTTGGCGCTGCTGCCCGAGACGTGGACGCGCAGGATACACAAGAGCGGCGGCAGCGCCATCGTTCTGATGGCCGATGAAAAGAGTGTCGACCAGGTGCTGAAGGCCATTGGAAAGACCAAGAAGAAGAACAAGATGCCTGTTTGGGGTGAGGGAGTTGCTAGCGACACACCCGAGCTAGGCGCACCGTGGGTTGCGGCGCACCTGCAGCTGTCGAGGGCTGACAAGGCGGCGACGCAGAAGTCGGTGCACGCCTTCTTCAACGTGTTCAATCGCAAGGAGAAGGAGGCGGCTGAGACAGCCAAGAGACTGCGGAATGAGCCAGATGAGGATGGTTTCGTCACCGTCACGCGCGGCGGACGCGCAACCCCCGCGACAAAGAACGAGGCCGAGGCGGCACGACAGAAGATGGTCGACCGTGCGGCCAAGAAGAAGGACGAGACAAAGGACTTCTACCGATTCCAGCTGCGCGAGAGGCGCAAGGCCGAGCAAGCACTGTTGCTGAAGAAGTTCGACGAGGATAGGCAGAAGGTGCTTGCTATGAAGGAGAAGAGGGGAAACTTTAGGCCAGAGACTTGAAGCACTCCTCGACCCCTGCATACTACGTGGCCTACAGAACAGCGCGCGATCCAAGGTCAGTGGTATTTTTGCATTTTTCTGAGGTTTCCCTCATCATGATGACGCACGCGGGGCCAGCGAAGCACCTTGGGAGCAAAGGGTCTCAACCTGAAGCTCAACTGAGGTGTAATGTCGACACAAACCGCGTTTAATATCTTCTCAAATTGTCTGAAATGCTTTTATATCTCCCCAATCAAGTGAGTGTACTGTACGAGCTAAGGCTGACTACGACCTAGATCAGGCCCGTTGGCCATCTTAAAGCCAGCCATCTACGCGTGCAAGCGCCTACTTGCCAACAGAGGTTCAATCCCAACCACCTAGAACAGACTGGTACTCGTAGCGACAGAGACAACAGGAAACTTGCTCTATACATGCAACGAACCGCATATTGCGGCATGTAATTTACCTGAGAAGACCTGGAAGATGTTAGCTGCGGAAGATCGACAATACCAAGCAGGCATGGCGCAGGCTTTGTTGGCTCGTTGAGATCAATGCTTTCACAGCTCAGGCCTGGGTCACAACACGTATTCTCTGCAAGTCAAGTACCAGGAGGCTTAGGCATGAGGCTACAGCAGAGAACGGCAGCCATATCATGCTGAGTCAACAAAGAACATAATACCCTTTTTGACGATGCTGCTTCGAACCAGTATTTGATTCGGCACGAAGTGTGTTGAGCCCAGGTCCTATTGCTTAGAAATTGTCCCCAATAGAAAATCGGGCGGGTTGGCGTCTCATTGTCCCGCACTACGAAGACGAAGACATGTCCCATATGCTTTGGTGAAGTCAATGACCTCCCAAACTGCGAAATCTATAGATAGGCTTCTTACGCGGGCAGCGAGTTCAGTGAGCAGTTCATCGATTTATGTGTATCAGCCAACCAGGTAGGCCGAGCTAAAGCAGTTCATCTTGCTTTTCGTGCGTAGTGTTACAACAACGTCTCAAACAAAGCCCCTTACCCCAGCCGGCTGAATCATCTCGGCGACTGAGTGAACAGAGCGAGCTTCTCGTCACCCGCGTCCCATGCAGTCCCCTACCTAACTCATGGCTTCCATCTTTCCTTTATAAACTCCTCCTTCTGCGACTTGAGCGCCGCTCTTGTCGGCTGCTTGGGCGGCAGATCAGGCAAGATAGCGTCAACGTGAGCATGATCGCTATTCGCGATGGTAGCAGAGCCGCTCTACCGCTGCTGCTGTTTCTGGAGCCTCTGCATCTCGTTGGAGTACAGAATCTTGAAACCGTTGCAGAGACCTCTCATGTCCGGATACTGGTTCTTCAGGAGTTCGTATCCCTCGTGGTGGACCTTGACCGGCATGGCATTCACCCGCGAAGATTTGTTCGCCTTGAAGCAAAGCCAGAAGTATCCTGGATGCTTAGGGTTGATGCAGAAGGCATAAGCAGAGCGCGTAGGGTTGGCGTCGATATAAGTGGTGAGCCACTTTTCTGCGCTGGGGTTAGTCACGATGTAGTAGACGAGTGGGCAACCACGCGTAGTTATTGGGGCCTTGCAGCACTTACCAACGTCTGCCCTTGAGCGCTTGTCGAACTTGTCGTGTTGCATCATCTCATCAACCTTCTTGACCATGCCTTCGATGTAGCCGTGAATCAGCTCGTCAAGATCTTTGTACGTCATCTTGCCAACACGAAGCAGCTGGCCGAGGGAGAAGTCGTTGGGCTTCTGCAGCTCGAGGACGTCCACGTGCTGGAATACGCCGTCGGCAACCTTCCACGTAATAGCAAGGTGGTCGTTACCCTTAGACGAGGGGCGAATAACCTTCTCACCGTTGGGTTGGGTGCCGAGCCACTGCTCCGCCTCCATGCCATTGAAAGGCTTGAACAGCATATGGTTGATGACCCTTTGGGTTCGCCCAGTGCTCTTGTCTTTTTCACGGAGTTCCTCCTTGTCATCGGCCTCCAGTCGCTCATCCCATGTACCGTGGGGATGATACATGTGTTTCCGATAGCCGTTTTTGATGTCCCTCTCGTCAATAGAGAGCTTAGCCAGAAAGTTCTTGTACTCAACCGACACAAGCTTCGCTTGTACTGTCTGTCCGACCGAAATGACGCCCTTGATGCCCATGCCGGTATTCCTGTCGTGTTCGTTGGGCTCGACCCTGCCCTCGATTCCGCAGTCAAGCTTGACAATAGCGAATTCGTCTTTCACAACCCTGACATTGACGGGGATGATCATGCCCACTGCGAGAGACTCTTTGCTCTCGCCCGTAAGCATAGTGAAGATCTCGCTATCAGCAAGCGTGACAAAGTTACGACGCAGCTCCTCGTATGGTGCCTGGAGCTCCGCACGAATAGTCTCCAGAGTCGCACGCTTCTTCTGGCTGTACTTGTCCTCCAGTTGCTGGGCGTACTCCTCCAGAATGAGTTCGTTAACCTTCTCCTGGGCGTCATCTTTAAAGAGCTTGCGCACGATGGCTCCGGGTCCATTTTGATCTGTCTCACCCTTGACATCCTCTTCATCGAGTTCAAGGGCATCAGCTGCCATCTTGCGGCCAAGCTCATAGTCTTCCGGATGCACACGTGTGTTGTCGAGGGGATCAGAAGTTGGGTTTGTTGATTCGAAGTGGATGAAGAGGAAACTGGCGCAGTTGTTCCATACTCGGGGTCCGACCACAGGAATTTTACCACTGTCGATGTCTCCAACGAGCTCGGCTCGACTAGCGACGTAGCCACCGTTGGCGCTGATGGCTTTCAGCACACTCGTTGCCTTACGGGGACCAAGACCAGCAACGTAGGGAAGCAGGTTGGCCGTGTAAGAATCTCCAACAGCCTCGTTGATATCGACACCGCACAGATTAACCATGTCAACCATGGCAAACTCCAAGTTCTTCAGCAGCTTGTCCTGAGGTAGCAGCTGCTGACAGGGGTGGAAGGCGAGGGAGGTTATATCCTTGCCAAGAGCGGCATACTCTTTCAGAGGGTTCTGCATGTACCTTGCCAGTCCGATGCAGTACCGTGTGAGAGGGGCAAGTAATGGGTGGTCGGCGACAGCACGCGGGCTGTCTTTATATAGTCGAGCGACCTCGTCATTCACTACAATGACCTCAAGCAGCTCGGCACGATATTCATCGGTCTCAGGGTCGTCAAACTCAGGACCCATCAAACCCTTGTCGCTGATGATGTTCTCGAGCTCGCGAACAAGCTTATGGGTGTCTGCCGACCAACCACTGACACCAATGACATCTGGACGCCGCAGTTTGACAAGCTCCACGAACTCTTCGCGAGCGGCATCATTCCGTGTCAAGTTATCGAACCTGCCATGGTCTCCGAAGCGGCCCTCTTCGTCCATCCAGGCCCAACATGTCGCGTCACGGCCAGGGTCAGCCATGCCGTTTGAGAATGTCAGAACGCGCGGCGTAGTACCCAAAACCATTCCCTTCGGCTTGTAAGGTGATTGATCGATCTTCTTCGAGTATTCCTCGCGGCATGTGGTGAGCACTTCGTCCTGGCAGGCAGTGCGCACCGACTCCTTTACACCCTTGGCAACGTGCTTAAGGAGACGGGGAACGGCAAGCTCAAGAACCTTGGTCCTCTCGTCATTCCACCTGTCTGCGCGCTCGCTGTAGTTGTCGGACACAAACTCCTGTCGGAGGTTGCGCTTGAATCCTTCGTCGTTCTCCATACTGACCTTGACCTCAATCAATCCGTCTTCTTCAGCCTTCATCATCTTGAGAAATAAGTGTGGTTGGCGGGCCATATCACCAAAGCTTTGATGAGTAAGGTACTTGATCTCGTAAAATGGATGAGATTCGTCAATCTTCCGCAAGCCCTTTTCGGTGCGACGACAGCTGATGTCACCCATTTCGTAGAAGTTGGCTCGGAAATGTTTGCGCATACGAGGGCTCACAAAGAGCTCCTCAGCGTACATCTGACGGGCGGCTTGCAATACGCTGTCACCCGTGGGGAAGTCCTCGTCGATATATTGATCGGCCAGGTTATCAGGCAACTCGTTGTCGTCATCGGCCCAGACCTTGGGCCCTTCCCTGAGTGCGTTCCGCGCGAGTCGGTCTGGTGTGATACCATATGCACGAACAAAGTCGTAAACCCTACTCCTCCGTACCTTGCCGAACAGTGCGCCTTTGGAGCCGGGCCGCTTGGTCTGTTTGGCACTTCCATTCATAGAAGCAAGGTCTTTCAGCTGCGCGGCATACTGGAAGTTGAGATAGTCTTGTAGGTCTTGGAGCTCTTCCATATTCGCAGCTTGCGTGATCATGTCCTCAAGGATGTCGTCATTGACGCCCATTTCAGTTTTGAGGTTATCAAGCGTCTTTTCTAAAGCATTCCGCTTCTCCATCAATGATCGGAACTTGATGTCGAGCTCCAAGATGCGCCACAAGTCGTCTTGGGTCAGTAGTTTATCGGCGGTGATGATGAACTCCGGGGCATCGGGATCGTCCCGGTGCGCGGGGTTGCGCGTCTTCTTCGTATGAATGAGGTAGTCCTTGCGGTGTTGGAAGACATACGGCACTTCGACGCCGTCAACCACAAAGAACTCAAGAACCTTGCCAATCGCCTTGGTGAAGGGCCCGAGTAGATCTCCCTGGAGCATCTTCTTCGGCCACAGAAGGTTCGCGATCCAACGTGCCTCCTCTTTAAATTGCTCGGCAGTGAGCTGCAGGTGCTTGAAGGGCTTTCTGTCGAGTTGAAACCTCTCGGGCTCGTCGAGAGTTCGGATTTCGTTGTCTTCGTCCGTAAGCAACTTCTCGGTAAGTTGCGAGGGCTCGAAAACGTCCTTCAGCTCAATCACTTGCTCCTCACGCTCCCTCTCGCCCTCTTCCTCTTCCATCTGCAGTGCCCAGTCGTAGTCTTCACCATTGCCAAAGATGGCCTCAAAGTCTTCCAGGGCATCCTTGTCGAGACCGGTGGTGTCGACCACGCCAGAAACACCCTTATCGCGGGGACGGGCAACTTCTGCATCTTCGAGTCGCTGCATGCGTGCCTCCTCGTCC